TATCACGTTTTATACTGAAAAGGTCTCCAACGAGATCTACACTCTTGCACAAGATCAGGTGAAAGCTAAATGAGGTAAAGCTCGGCATAAAGTCCTCTGACTATTCTGTTCTTTCTATGGACCTCCCTATTCCTTGTGACAAAATATCAAAAGTAGACCAGTTAATAACCCTATGATGACCTCTTTATGTTCAAGTGAGAGCAAGAGTCACACTCCTCTCACTTTAAATCAGAAGCTAAAAAAGGATTAAGCTTAGTGAAGAAGATCTGTTGAAAGCTGAATGAGATAAAGCTTGGCCTTTTAGACTAGTAGATCAAGTTGTAAACTGAAAAGTTCTCAGAGGAAATTAAAAATGTTACTCAAGTAAATGTAAGAATAAGAAAGTGAAACAGACTTATTCCTGATATGGAGAAATTTTTAGTGGTCTGAAAAGATCAAAGCCAGCTGCAACACTGCTGTAAACCAAAGCCTAATCTAGAGCAAGGTCCTATATATCTTCAATTCAAGGCTGAGAGAGGTGCAGAAGCTACAGAAGAGAAGATTGAAGCTAGCAGAGATTTGTTCATGAAGTTAAAGAAGCCATCTCTGTAACGTGAAAGTACAAGTTGAAACAGCAGGTGCTGATGTAGAAACTGCAGAAGATAACTAAGATAATTATATGAAGGTGGCTAAAATGAACAACAGATTTTTTTTCAATGTAGAGGCTATAGCATTACATTGGAAGAAGATGCCGTCTAGAACTTAAAGCTAGAGAAAAGCTAATGCCTGGCTTCAAAGCCACAAAGGAAAGTCTGCTTCTTATTAGGGTTCAGTGCAGCTGGTGACTTGAAGTTGAAGCCAGTGCTCATTCACCATTCTGAAAATCCTAGAGTACTTAAAAATTATACTAAATCTACTCTGCTTATGCTCTAGAAATGTAACAAAAAGGCCTGGGTGATGATACAGTTGGTATACTGAGTATTTTAAGCCCACTGTTGAGACCTACTCCTCACAAAAAAAGATTTCTTTCAAAATATACTGCTTATTGGTAATGCACCTGGTCTCTGAAGAGCTCTGATGGAGATGTCTGGTGAGAAAAATGTTGTGTTTAGTGTTCTAACACAACATCTGCTCTATAAGCAAAGAAAGGGTTTCTTCGGGCGGAATCTACTCTAGGTGAAGGTGCTATAAAACATTGTTGATATGACAACGAAGAATTTATATAAACGTAAGTTGATACAGCAGCAGAATTTGAGGACTGACTCCAGTTTTTAAAGACGTTCTGTTGGTAAAATGCTGTCAAACATTATCACATGCTACAAAGAAGTCTTTTGTGAAAGGAAGAGTCAGTCAATGGGGCAAAACTTTATTGTTCTCTTATTTTAAGAAACTGCCAGAGTCACCCTATCCTTCAGCAAACACCACACTGGTTAGTCAGTAGTCGAGGTAAGGTGAGGTCCTCCCCCCACAAAAAGAGTATAACTCACTAAAGACTGAGATGGTGGTTAGCATTTTTAAGCAATAATTTGTCTTCCCCCGTGATGCTTGCCATCAGACCTAGGACCTCATGAATTCTGGGCAAGTACTCTCCAACTGAGCTACGTCTCCTCTCCAGTCCTGTAAAATATATATTTTTTTAAAATATTTTTTTAGTTGTAGGTGAACACAATGCATTTTATTTTATTTTACTTTATATCACACGTGTTAGGCAAGCACTGTACTGCTGAGCCACAACCCCAGCCCCAGTAAAGTATTTTTAAATAAAGATATGTGCATACTTTTTTAGACATAATGTTATTACATATTTAATAGACTATAGTATAGTGTAATCATAACTTTTATATATGCTGGGAAAAGGTAAACTTTGTGACTCACTTCATTGTGGTGATTTGGAATGGAACCTGTGATATCTACAGTGCATGCTTATAAACATGTAGAGCAAGAATGGTAACGTGGGGAGTTAGAACAGTGACTTGATAACTGACTAGGTTATGGAAGGAGTTTCTAAAGAGTTGGCATGAGATTGGAATGATCAAGAACCTTATAGGTTCTTTTTAGTAGTGGAGGTGAGGTGCAATTTAAAAGCACTTTAGGTAGGTAAATTGATGATTGAAAGTGGATGGTAAAGAGTCGGCAGAATTTAGAATGACTTCCAGGTGTTCGAGTGGGTGACTAGATACTAAGGAGACAGAGAATGCTGGTTTGGCATCAGGTGTGTGGGGAGAAGAAATTGAAGCACCTATGGAAATCATGATGAAGATACATTTTGTTCTGGCACCAGAGTGGGAAAAGAAAAGATGCAGTTGCTGATACGAAGATATGAGATATGTGAGGTCAAGGGAAAATGTTTATTGGGACATATTGCAGAAATTGGAATTCCAGGGAAATATAATGGAAGAGAGGGAAGGTAGCTCTACAAAACTCTTTTGAGAATGAATTGTCAGGAGAAATGTAAGAGGATATGAAGCTAAACAAGGGAGAGGAGGATTTCAAGAATGACAAGAGTGATAGAGGATCCAGTAAGGTCTAGTTAGGTTCCCTCAAGGTACTTTAGTTCCATGAGGATGAATGAAAAGGACAGGAATCAGATAGTGAATTATAGAAAAAAATGTTTTTGTTTATTTTTGCGGTACTGGGAGTAGAACCCAAGACCCTGAGCACTAGGCAAGTACTTGACCACACCCCCAGACTGAGAAAATGTTTAGTGGTAAAGTTACAAAGTAGTTTTGAAATCTGTGAAGCAAAGGAAGAAGTATTACAGCAACTCAGCAAGGATTTGCATAGATAAGGTAAAGTATTGAAAATGAAAAAGTACTTGCTGTAGATGCCTTAACATTTTTTCTTTGCACAACTAGAAAAGATTGAAGATATGGAATGTAAGTATATACTGATATTTGAGAGGGAGGGCACATTTGAAGGAACTGACCAAAGAAGGAAGAGGTAGGCCTCTTCAATACAGGGAAGGATGGAGGAGGAGGCTATAAAAATTCTAGGGAGATGTGGAAATCAAGGGAATTACTTCTTAATGGCTCAATCAACCAGACCCAATTCTCAAAGCAAGACATTTAGGTATAGTAAAAGGAAGAATGGATGACAAATTTATGCTAGCTATTCTGAGAGAAAAGGTGGGGTTAAAGGATTAATGAATGGCTTTGAGATCCCAACTGAGATTGCTTAAAGTGAATGCATGTTTGTATTGTTCCCCCTCTTGCCCCCAGCAGGCTCAGTATGAGCTTGGGAATTCTAACATAGAATGTAGAATTGTATTATATATATATATTATACAATAATATAATAGAATTGGATTATATGGGATTTTGTGGGACAGGTGCTACAAATCAAGGATGCAGAGAGACTGAGGAAACTCATGAATAGTACTCCCTTGAGGATTTTGTGTGTGGGATGGCTCAAGGGAAGGTAGTATAGCTAGAAAGTAGGGTAATTTATACAGAGAAAATGAGTGAAAGGGTTAGAGGTCTCAGTGAGATCAAGTACCATACGTGGACATGAATCTAGTCAAAATATTTGCATTTAAAAATTTAAATATGTGTATTTAATAATTAGTCATTTTTCTAGATCAAATATTTTTTGTTTTCATGAGGAATGATTTTGACTTATGAGTTTTCTCTAATAGTCATAAATCCATGTCTGCAATAGAATTGGTCTTTAAAAGTGTTAATATATTTTTATTAATTATTGATGAACTCATTGTTTTTGCTGCAAATAATCCATTACACCTATAATTCTTACTTGCTGTCTTGATTTATTTCCAAGTGGGGTTTTTTGTTTGTTTGTTTGTTTTTGGGGATTTTTTTTTTTTTGGCTCTGAATAGCTGATGGATTTGAACTGAATTTTAACTGCGCTCTCTCAGTTAATCTGGGAAAGAGCTCTCATGTAGTCTTGGGTTCAACTTTTACCTTGATTATGCACTATTATGCTTCAATTGTAAAAGCAAAGAAGAAATGAATACACTCTCAGAAATGGATTTGCTAAAATATACATTATTTATTTCCAGTATTCATTCATACTAATACTTTCAGAAAGGAAAGGTGGTACCCATGTATTGATTATTATTGATTATCAGTAACTAATATACAAATTTTCTACATGCTTATCACACTGAGCATCATGTTTGCAAATCATATAGCCTATTGATTAAAAGGGTAAACTGCCTTTTTATTAAAGAGATAAGATTATACATATTTTGAATGCTTTTATTTTTATTAATGTAGTTAATGCTGAATTCTAAACCATGGGAAAGCAGCTCTTAAATGGTTCTTTCATTCTTCTGTTTGATCTCCTTCAGTTTCTTTCCTTCCCTTGCTATTATTATCAGTACCAACTGCTACATGTTTGCATTTCCTTTCTGATTTGTCATTTTTTAAAGATATATTTTTGGGCTGGGGCTGAAGCTCAGTGGTAGCTTGCCTCATCATACATGTGAGGCACGGGGTTGGATCCTCAGCACCACATACAAATAAATAGATAGATAGATAAAAAGGTATATGTCCATCTACAACTAAAAATATTTAAAAATTTTTTTTTAGTTGTAGGTGGATACAGTACATATATTTATTTATTTTTATGTGGTGCTGAGGATTGACCCCAGTGCCTCACATGTGAAGTAGACAAGTGCTCTACCACTAAGCTACAACCCAGCCCTGATGTGTTTTTAATTTTTTTTTTCTTTTGTGGCACTAGGGATTTGAACCCAGGGCCTTGTGCATCTGATCTGTCATTTTTAACCTTTATTCTACTATAATGTTTACTCAGTAATTACTGATTCTTATTTGGAACCATTCTCAGGAGAGTTAATGCCAAAATTTATCAGAGTGAATTATAATTTGCTAAGATTCCTGTTTGTAGAAAATAGGAATAACCCTAAGGGGAAAACATCAGATATCAGTCTTGGTTCAAAAATATATTATGTGCCCACTATTATGTATAATTATAATGTACCAATAAAAATTTTTTTGAGTATTAACAAAAGTTAGAGAGTTAGAGACTTTGAGAAAGAAGTACGTTAGTTATAGCATCATCGAATTATACTTTGGTTCCCATTGTATCAAAAGTATTAGCTTTATTTTTACAAATGATTTTTTTAGTCAGCATTTTCAAAAGCTGAGCTTTTTATATTTTTAAATGAAGAATTGTTCCCTAAAATCATAAGCAAAGTTTGAGGATTTTATTCTAATGAGTTGATTGTTCAGAAAAGATCATCTAGAAATTTTGCTTATATTTGTTGACTCATATTGACTAGCATATTTTTACCATTAAATTAAACTTTGTATACTGCTTATTAAATAAGTTAATTGAATTTTTGTAATTCAGGCAGAAAAACAAGTAGAAACCGAGGAGGCAGGAGTAGTGACAACAGCATCAGCATCTGTTAATCTAAAAGTGAGTCCTAAAAGAGGACGACCTGCAGGTAGGATTGTTAATGTTTAAATATTTGCTTGGCTTTGATTAATATTCCAATCCATTAAAGTGTTGTTGCCTCAAGTGTTTTGGAATGAAGTAAATAGGCATTTGGTTACAGCCATGCATTTTCTTAATGACTGTTAACAGATATGGTCTGAGAAATGCATCATTAAGCAATTTCATTGTTGTTCAAACATCATAGAGGGTATGTAGAAAAACTAAGAAGGCTTTGACATTAGTAGGCCATTTAATCTTATGGGACCACCATTGTACATGCAGTTTGTCTTTGACAGAAATGTCATTATGCAGTGCTTAAGTCTGAAATAATCATGAATTTTTTTTTCTTTTTGTTTTTAATCCCATTAAATTTTCCACAGATACTGGCAAATGACACTACAGTGGGGTTAAAACCACCAGGAATAATGGGCTTATTTTATCATTTATGAGGCATAAACTTTGTAAATGGAGCCATATTCAAAGAACAAACACAGCCTTTGATTAACAGCTGTTAATATATTAAATTACTACATTCTTTGTTTATGAGGATATTTATAATATGCAGCTCTCATTAGCATTAATATTTTCTTAATTTGGCAAGTTGGAAATCTCTTGAAAAGGACCTTCCTAATACAGAGTATGCACAAGAAAATTAACAAAAATAGAGAATGTTTTTCTACTTCATAATAGGACTTATTGAAAAAGGATTACGATGCATAATAGCCAGAGGGGAGAATTAAATTTATTTACATGTTTTAGAATTTAATAGTGTTGTAATGGGTCAAATTAAGGGTGTTAGAAGACTCAGTGAATTTTGATATAAGCTTTCCAAAGATGTGTGTGTATAAATAAATGTACATATAATACTCTGATATGATAGGAACGTATGTGATACTCTAAAGTTAAATTTTGTGACATTACTGGTAAATGAAAAATGTTGTTTTAAGCCCTCTCAAGCATACCAAGGACAAATTGATAATAGCTGATCTTTAAATTTTTTGGCTTGTTTCTCATTTGATTCATGATTTTTAAAACTTAATAAATTATTGTTATCTGTAATAGACCACTAAATAATAAACTCTTGATGTATATAATTTTGTAATCTTTATATAATGAGATTTGCATTTTAAAGGGAAACTAATTATTTTTTTTTCCACATGAATATTAGCTACAGAAGTCAAGATTCCAAAACCAAGAGGCAGACCCAAAATGGTAAAACAGCCCTGTCCTTCAGAGAGTGACATGTGAGTTGATTTTTAATGTATAATTGATTATTCAATAAATGAAACCTTTGATTACAAACAACTTGCATTTTTACAAGTTTTCTCTTGTTTTAAGGGATGTTACTATTCCTATTTTGATATTTCCAAAAATCATGGGGAGGATTGTAAAATGTAAAAATTGGTAAAAACTGAAAATATGTGGTTATTATTAAGACTTTTTTTTTAAGTGTATGAAGATATAATGTTACTTTGGTAAAAGAGTAAAATCTAAAAGAAAATTGGGCAGGATAGTCTTGTTGAAGGAATTTGAGAGAATATATTTGAAGTGGTGTCCACAAGTATTTTTAGCTCCTTCAGAGTAGGTGCTTTATTTTAAAATGGTGCTAAAATTGTAGTGTATATTTAAGATTTTTAAGTATTTTGGAATAATCACTTAGTTATCAAAAAAAGTAAACATTTTCCCCCTTTGCTGCCTTTCTTAACTACTTATGGTAAGGAGGAAAACCTTTTTATAGCTGTTGTGTTTAAAGATTTTGTTGGAGGTGGCACACACCTGTAAGCTACTTGGGAGGCTGAGGCAGGAGCATCACAAGTTTGAGGCCAACCTGGGCAACCTAGTTGAGACACCCTGTCTCAAAATAAAAGAGTGGGGGTATAGCTCAGTGGTATAGAATACTTACCTAGTTATGCATGAATCCTGGGATAAATCCCCAGTATTGGGGGGACAAAAGAGTTTTAAGGGAAAGCTGAAATGAGGTATCTTAAGAATGGGCTTATAATGTTTTGGATCAACGAATTATTTTTATAGGAACTTAATTATAGAACATTACTAGAGTTGTACTTTTCAACCAAAATATATTTAAAGATTTTATTTTATTATTTTATTTTTATGTGGTTCTAAGGATCAAACCCAGTGCCTCACATGTGTTTAGGCAAGTGCTGTACAATCCCAACTCCTATTTTACATCTAAGCTAGCTGTTAAAGTATTACACACCTGTAGTTCCTCTGTCTGAGGAAGGAGGATTACTTGAGCTTGGGAGTTTGCGGCTTTCCTGGGCATTATAGCCAAGATCCAGTTTCGATCTGTCTGTCTCTCTTTTTTTTTTTTTTAAAGAAAATTACTTTCAAAAATAGTAACATATAACAATAATACATTGTTATTGTATACTTATTATAAGGAGAATAGATTCCAAGCATTCTTACCACTAAAACAAAAAAATCTATGGGGTAATAGGAGTTAAATAACCATTTAAATGTATACATCCACTAACACATCACATTTTACATCATAAATAGAACTTGTCAATTAAAAGATAGTGGCACAGAAACACAACATGGTTTAATTATTGCAGCGATATTAAGAAATCGTTTACCCGGAGGTAAACAAGTTTGCAGTCATTATTCCTTGGGAAATCAATTTGGAAGGAAAATATTGCGAGATTCCCCTATTTTTAAATATAAGGAATCTCTCCTGATTAGGCCCCAGTTTTCCCTTGAAGTATACTTCCTAGTCCCTTTGTCTCCATGGCTTTTTGCTGATTCTTATGGAAATTATCTAATTTTGCCCTTCCTGTCAGCTGAGCTGCTTTCTCAGTGACTTTCAGACTATATGGATTCAGAGGCTTTAGCATGCCTTTTTAGATCACATTTTCTCTTGATACAATCTAATGTCATTTTTGGTAGTACATACTGTGTGTTTAATCTAGTCAGCTTCAATGGTCTCACTCATAATACTTTCCCATATGTTCTTATCTTTTTTTAATTAATTATAGGCATTTAAGTGTATAGGTTTTCCTAAGAAACCACCCCTCAGGAATCATGTGTCCATCTGAAGAATTAAGGCATTCCAGTTTCAATTCTTAAGGCTAGCAGCTATACCCTTTATGAGATCTTTGACCCTAGGATGTGGGAATTTGAAAATCCTATATCCTTACTTGAAACAGAGGCTTTCTTTTTTTTTTTTTTAAACTCAGTTTCTTAAATACCATATCAACTTTATCTTGGTAATAATCAGTTCAAGCTACTGATATTCTACCTTGAAACCCCTTTACCCCAAACCACATTTCCTTCTTTCAAGTTGTCATAGTTCTACAGTTTTACCCATGGATGTATTAGGTAAAAAGTAGAATAGGGGTCATTGACAGCTGGGGCAGCAGAAAGGAATGGAGGGGCTAAGGTTGAATAAGACATAAGATGAACTGCCAAGAAAAGAAAATGAGAAGTTGATATTTACGGAATTCTTGCTATGGGAGAGGTTGGATAACCAGCATGAAAATATGGTTGGATAAAAGAGGAATTAGTTCTGATGTTCTATATACCACTGTAGGATAGCTGTAGTTTATAATAATTTTATATTTCAAAATAACTAGAGAAGGGTTTGAAAGTTCCCAACACAGAATGATAACATTTGAGGAGATGGAAATGCTAATTACTATGATTTTATTATTACACATTGTATATATTCTTCAGATTAATAATATTGTGTCCCATAAATAATAATGTTTGTTAATTAAAAATTTGTAAAGGGGTTGGGAGTTAGCTCAGTGATAGAGCACTTGCTAGCATACCTGAGATCCCTGTTTGATACAATTTCTATATTAGTGAGCTTTTTGCTCAGGCAATAGATAATCCTAAAATAGCAGGAGCTCACAACATTTATTTATTATTCCTGCTGAATGTATGCTGGGCGTTGGATGTAGCTACCTTTGGTTGTGTATTGTGAGTGGAGTGCAGCATTAAATTACATAAACTCTTGAAACTTATGTTCTTCATCATGAGAACAGCGTGGATGTATTAGTGACTATTTCTTCCTGATGGGTACTGAAATGGCAATAAAAGTATAGACAGAGCCTTGAAGAGCTAAAAGCAACTCATAATGTTCACATAAAGTAAGAAAAATTTGTTAACAAGCCACTGAGACACGTGGGGTTGTGTGTTAGTCTTGAAGTTAACATATATTAGAAGACTTGAGGGGCTGGGGGGCTGTGGCTCAGTGGTAGAACACTTGTCTCGCATGTGTGAGGCCCTGGGTTCAATCCTCAGCACTACATAAATAAAAATAAAAAGGTATTGTGTCCACCTACAACTAAAAAAAATATTTAAAAAAAAAAGACTTGAAAATTATAATTTTCTCAATGTCCCTTGAACTGTTAAAAAGATAAACTGCCAGGTTAGGGATGTAGCTCAGTGATGTAGTGCTTGCCTAGCAAGCCCGAGCCCCTGGGTAAGCCCCAGCACTGTAAAAAAAAAAAAAAGAGAGAGAGATTGTTACAAGTCTGTAGTTCATGAAAGGTGGCAAGTAGTGATAGTTAGATTCATGAGACTTCTTTGCTTTGATACTGCTCAAAAAACTTTGAAGTAATCCCCTTTCTTTGACCTTAAAATAGTCTTTTTGGTTTTGGTTTTTTGAAGTCTGGTCTCATTATGTTGTTCAGGCTGGGTTGGATATTCTGGGCTTAAGTGATTCTCCTGCCTCAGCCTCCCAAGTAGCTGGGAGTACAAGAGTACACCACCATGCCCAGCTTTTATTTTTTTCCCCCCTTGTGGTGCTTAGATGTTCAACCCAGGGGTCTCCTATATTCTAAGTATATACTTTAAAACTCAGCTACATCTCCAGCCCCACATTTAAAAAATATATGCCTGGGTCTGGGGTTCTGGCTCAGTTGTAGAGTGCTTGCTTAGCATGTGTGAGGCACTCGGTTCAATTCTCAGCACCGCATGTAAATAAATAAAGGTTCATCAACAACAAATGAAAATATTTTTCTAAAGCCACTTTAAAAAAAATACATAAAACAGTCCATGTATAGGTATTATCATTTTTAAGATCTATTCCATATTTGGATGCTTGCTTTTAAAAAACATTGTTATCTAGGTTGGAGATAAAGCTCAGTGGTATAGCACTTGAAGAGCTAAAAGCAACTCACAGTGTTCACATAAAGTAAAACTAATTTGTTAACAAGCCACTGAGATTTGGGGTTATGTATTAGTCTTTAAGTTATTAGAAGTTAACATATATTAAACCCATGCCCAAGGCCCTGGGTTTAATCCCCAGTGCATCTTGTGCGCACACACAAACATTATCTGTTGTTTTTATGTAAGTTTGTTGGTTTAAGATGTGTTAAAGGGAGTAGATTTGTTGGGTGAGAGGAAGTTTGTATTTTTTAATAGCTACTTCCTTCCAAAACAGTTTGAAGAAAGCAGTCAGTTGATATTAAGAGCTACAGAAATTGTTTTTACATTTGACTTGACAATATTACCATTTTTAAGAAAAAGAGGTGAAACCCATCTGACATTTGAAAATAAGCACACCCAATGATGATTTCTGACAAATTTTTGAAGATGTAAAAGATGACATTTTTTTCTTTTCCAACTTAAGTCTCCTAAGTATTCAAGGAAGCACTTATTTGGTAAGGGGGGATCAGTGGGTTTATTATGTGACATTTTGCATCACATTTCTCATTTATCTGGGTAGCATTGGACCAAATGACATGGGATCCATCTTAATCTGTGAAAATTTCAGTAAAATTCCGTGGACAGTAAAAAGATCGTAGTGTTTTTGTTTTGTTTTTTGTGGTACTGGGGATTGAACCCAGGGCCTTATGCATGCAAGGCAAGCACTCTACCAACTGAGCTATATCCTTAGCCCAAGGTCATAGTTTTTAGACAGCTTTAAGTCGATGTATTTCTTTATAAAGGAGTTCTCTAGTTGAACACGTATGCCATAAAAGTAATTGTTAGCATTTGCATCATCTGATTGTCCTTTTATAGCCTGTTTCTACTATTTATATTCACATAATTATTATCTAGCAATAATTAGGATATTTGAATAAGTTAGGTAGTTTGAATTATTTTAGCAATGTGTGGGAGTACTTAGATCGTAATCGGCTTAGTACTGTTTGTTATCATGCTTGATTTGCCATATATTTAAAAGAGTGCTTCTTTTGAATTCAAAAATGACATTTGATTTCACTTCTTCAATTCAGTTTTTCTGAGTGTGTCTACTTTTAAAAAATAGGGGCTGGGGATGTGGCTCAAGTGGTGTTGCGCTTGCCTGGCATGCGTGCAGCCTGGGTTCAATCCTCAGCACCACATACAAACAAAGATGTTGTGTCCGCCGAAAACTGAAAAATAAATATTAAAAAAAAAAATTCCCTCTCACTCTCTTTTTAAAAAAAAATAATAATTTATTCTTACAAATACATAGTTGGCCCATAAGTTGGGCCAAGGGTATGGCTTCATGATAGAATGTGGGCTTAGTATGCACAAGGCCCTTGGTTAATTCCCAGCATCTTCAGGAAAAAAACAAAAAACCTAAAACAAACCACCACCAATCATCAAACTAACAACCCTAAAATATAGCCCCCAAACACACACCAAGATCCAGGGATCTTGCTCATCTTATATACTGCTGTTTCCTCAGAGTTAAAAACAATAAGTACCATGGCACATGGCTAGTACTCAAATTATGTTTTTGAACAAATGAATGACATGAAAGGAAACTTGGAAAATGGGGGGAAATCACTTTCTACTTTCTATTAACCTAATGACACTTTAATTTTTTATCTTCTAATTTATATCAAAAGGATGTTCTGGTACAGAATTTCTTTTACTTTTCTGTATATTTACTTTGTATGGGTGTGGTATGTTGTATGCTGGGGACTGAATCCAGAGCATTGTATATACTAGACTGTACCTCTGAGATACTTTTCCAGCTTCTAGATTGACTTTTAAGTAGCAATACTGCTACATTTCTTTAGAGAGGATCTTGTTTAGTGGTGCAGGCTGGACTTGAGTTCGTGTCCTCTAGCTTCAGCCTCCCAAGTAGCTGGGATTACAGGTATGCATGTGGATTATTTTTATCATCTAAAATACTTGTTTGGTGAGTACAAGAGTATAGATGAATGACAAGTAATGATAAATAAAAGCTCATTATTGCATTTTGTAAAATAGGATTACTGAAGAAGACAAAAGTAAGAAAAAGGGGCAAGAGGAAAAACAACCCAAAAAGCAGCTTAAAAAGGATGAAGAGGGCCAGAAGGAAGAAGATAAACCAAGAAAAGAGCCTGACAAAAAAGAGGGGAAAAAAGAAGTTGAATCAAAAAGGAAAAATTTAGCTAAAACGGGGGTTACATCAACCTCTGATTCTGAAGAAGAAGGAGATGATCAAGAAGGTGAAAAGGTAGAAAGTTTATATATCATATAAAATACTTGTTCTGTTTTTAAGTTCTTTTTAGATAGTTTTTAAGCTGTACCCTAGTAAGTATTCAGTATTTTTGTGAAAGCTAACCTGGATTCTTATATTTCTTAATAGACTTCTACTAACTACATAACAAGTACATTTGAAACTTAATTTTCTATTCTGTATATATCTTCCCTTCTCACAATTATAGTCAGAAAATTGAATATGTACTTCCAATAACCCCACCTAGGAAAATAAGCGAATGTAGGAAATAAGCCAAGTTGGCTGTGACATGAAGACAAATGTAAATATAAGGTGTATTTCTATATATATTTTTATTTACCCCAACGAAAATTTTTGTGCCTATTTATTGTATGTTTAGTCATTTATATGTAACGTTATTTGGATGCCATTAAATCTTGTTTGGGAAACTTATTAAAGCTATATGTCTGGGCTGGGGTTGTGGCTAAGTGGTAGAGTGCTTGCCTAGCACATGCAAGGCCCTGGATTTGATCCTCAGCACCACATAACAATAAAGCTATTGTGTTCAACTACAACTAAAAAATAAATATTAAAAAAAAAAAAAGCTATGTGTCCTTTTGTGTAGAAAAACAGAATAGCCTTAAGAGATGTACAGATCCAGGTCACATAGACATTTTCTCTCTCTCTTTTTTTTTGTATTGGGGATTGAACTCAAGGGCACTTGCCCACTGAGTTACATCTCCAGCCCTATTTTTGTCATTTTTATTTTAGAGACAGGGTCTCACTGAGTTGCTTGGTGCCTCCCAGTTGCTGAGGCTGGCTTTGAATTTTTGATCCTCCTGCCTCAGCCTCCCAAGCTGCTAGGATTATAGGCATGCATGCACCACTGCACCTGTTTTTTTCTCACATTTTAATATTTCAAAGCTAAAATTTTTAAACAAAATAGGCTCAGCAGTATGCTATCAGTATTCACATAAAATTACTGTGACAGGAGGAAGACTATTAAATCCACAATCATAAAGGAAAGTGAAGATTGTAGAGCAGAGATGTGTAAAATTCAGTTGTGTTTTTTAAAATTACTAATTTAAACACGTCTCTCAAAACTAGTTATTTTTCTCTGGAGATTGTCATTACAGCTACTAGTCACTGACTTTGATAGTTAATTAAATCCATCCTGATTCTCAAACAGAAGAGAAAGGGTGGACGAAACTTTCAGACTGCTCACAGGAGGAATATGCTGAAAGGCCAGCATGAGAAAGAAGCAGCAGATCGAAAACGCAAGCAAGAGGAACAAATGGAAACTGAGCAGTAAGTATTTTTTTATTCTAAATTTTGGGTTTTCTTAAAGCTAGCATGGGTTTTTTAAACAATAGACTTCATTTTCCAGACTTTATGAAGCCTTTTGAAGTGAAATTTTTCCCATGTTAGAAAAATCTTCCATATATGAAGATGATATTTCAGGCTTCATTATTTTCTGAATGAAGGATGAGATTCTTGGAGGCAGTCACCCTGTGAATTCTTTTTCAGTTTAAACTGAAAGTGCAGATAAGTTTTAACTGTTGGTTTTGCAGAAAATTGTACTCATCCTCTCTTATTTGTGTGATATATAAATATAGAAAGAGTGGTGATAATATATTGGTGGAGAAAGAATGCAGGATATATTCTTGTTATACCACCAGCAGGCCTACCCCTAAAGACCAGCAAAAATAAAAAAGCACAGGTGGAAACCCATGAAGCCAGTAAAGTAAATCCAGTGGCTGACAGGGTTTACATTGAATGTGTGCACTATAAATCAAGTTCAACTCTGTTTTCCCTTAAGTTTTGATACTTGGAGATGGTATATACTTACCATGGGGGATTTCTTTCCCCTTTATTGTATAAAATAATTTTATTAATAGAATGAAAAATGATAGCAATGATGATTGTTAGACTTCATGTCTTTGTTTTCCTGGTTATCTTTTAGACTGTCACTTCTGAATTCTTTCTCTGAAATACTTTTCTTTCCTGTGAAATGTCTTACACTCTTTAACTTTTTTTTTTTGTTGTTGTTATTTATAGTGAGGAGATAATTTTATAAACATGCTCTATGTCACTAAAGACAAAGATAATGAGCAGTGAAACTCTAAACATTCTTGAATAATTTTTTTTATATTATAAAATAATCATAAGCCACAAGACTATAAATATAGCATTTGCCTCTGACTTCTTAGTTGTTCGGAGGCTATATGAGCAGCTTTAGCCTCTTGTGGGAGTATTTTAAAAAGTGATCTGAAGTTCAGAAATGTTACTCCCCGTTGTTGACTTTGACCACTTCTGTAAATATTTTTTTGTTACCTATCCTTTTCACTGAAAATTTGTTGGACTGTTGGTTGCTTTTAACTTCATTGTGCTCCCAAAATTAGGATACAGAATTAGTTGTTGCCTAGTAAAATAGCCCATCCCTTCTTCAGTATCTCAAAGTTATCTTTTTATGTATTTCAGTTTCTTTTGAATGTCCTCCAATGTAATTTTCTCAAATTCTAATATTTGTGTTTTCTTTCCTTCTCCTGTTATTACAAAACTTTGTACTTGGACAGTTTTGCTCTGTAAAGCATTTCAGATGCAACTTGTGTGAAATGCATTATGCAAAATAAAGTTTATTGTATTGTATTCCCAGCCAAACAACATGTAATCTACAGTAATAAAAAATATATCTCATTTTGGGCTCAAAGCATTAATCCAGTTACTGAAAAGAGAATACAAGTGGAGCAAACAAGAGATGAAGATCTTGAGACAGACTCATTGGACTGAATTTCCCCCTCCCCCCCCTTGATGGAAGAATGTTCCAGATTCTAAATTGAGGACTTCATTATTAATGGCATTATTACTGTGTTATGATTGTTAAAATTTCCTGTAAGGTACACACTACATCCTAAGGTCTGCCATCATTCCTGTTAAGTTTTTTACCAAGCTTAAAATGAAGCTTTGTGTTTGAAAGTTATAACAATTCTAGATGAAGATGGTGGTTGTACATTATTTCATTTAGAAAATATAAAAATTCATTTTGTTTTGAAGCTAGGTATTAACTGGAATAGCTATACATCCCTGAGAATGGGGCAATTGTGCCCTTCCCTTGACATTCCTTGTTGTTTAATTCTTTAGAATCTTAATGATTGTTTTTTTAAAAATCCTGAGAGATTAATCAGTAGACTTGTTAAGAAAAAAATGAAACTGTAACCAAAATTTTAAAATAAAGTTTTTTTAAAAAAAAAAACCTGATTTTTAGATATTTTTTGTTCTTGTCTATTTTAATTGGTTTATAGTATGGCCTGATTGCCAAGCCAAGGTACTAGAAATTATGATTTCAATTTTAAATGGTTATTTTTGTGATTCATAGTAAAACGGTACCTTTTCATTTGAAATGGTATATAAATGTTAGTGGATGTCATTTAATTTGATAATGGCTTCCCCTTCCCCAATTTTTAAAAAATTTCATAGGTGTCTTAAAAACAGTATTTTAATCTTGAAGCTTACTTCAAAATCCCTTAAATTACCTGCACTTCGGAGATGTGGTGAACAATTAAATTGGTCTGTTTTGTTTTTGTAGTGCTGGGGATCAGACCCAGAAAGCCTCATGTAGGCAGTCGCTCTACCATTGAGCTACAACTCCAGCCCTAAATTGGTCTGTTTTAAATGTGCTGCTTTTAAAAATAATTGTGATGTAAAATCCATTAAATGTTTATAGTATTCTTCCCATTGTAGATTGTTGATCTGAATGTGGGCTTTTAATATATTTCATGTTGGAAAGAAAATTTCATTGTGACAGTTCCAAAATCATTTTGTGAAGTCACTTAAAAAAGATTGTTAGATTTAATTTAGCATATTGAGTTTTGCTTATATTTGTACTAATGCTGTGGAGCTCCGGTTCTAAACACTGTAATCAATTCTTTGTGGTCTAAGCTATTGATTTATTATTATAAGGAAAATTTTTTATTATTTACATAAGGGATTGTGGGCATTTGGTAATCATAGTCACAAAGTTCCAATGTTTTGAAATATTTGTGTTAACATTTGATAGGCAGAATAAAGATGAAGGAAAGAAGCCAGAAGTTAAGAAAGTGGAGAAGAAGCGAGGTTAGTTATTTCACTTTCTACGACGTATAAAAGCATACATAGAAAGTTTGTAGACAATTTTTCATGATTGGCTTCAGAATCAGCCTCATTTTCTTATGTCCTACAAAAACATTCAGATTCCTGATGAATTCTATATAAAGTACATTGTACTTTAAGCGTAACTAGGTGAACTTGCTAAATAGTAATCTTTGTATTTTAATATTTGTCATCTGATGTCAGATTTTTCTAACTTGGACAAAAGCTAAACACTTTCTCATTTTTGTCAGATTGCTTAATTAGGGTTAAGTGTATAAGGTAAGGCAGGTGTTTTATGGATTGGTGTGTAGAGTTCCTTGGATGTAGACAATGGCATATTTTGTGCTTTCATGCTGTTTGTTGCTTTCCTAAACTATATATTAAAAATTGCAGGTAACTTCTTATGCAATTGTTCATCTATAAAGAGTTTCTTAGTAAAATATATATTTTTAAGAAGCCACAGTTTCTTTCCATTATAAAGCAGATTATACAAAAATACTGGTTTTGGAAAAACTATTTACTGTTTTTCACATATTTTAATTTATAGAAACATCAATGGATTCTCGACTTCAAAGGATACATGCTGAAATAAAAAATTCACTCAAAATTGATAATCTTGTAAGTGTTTAACTTCCTTTAAAAATACAGTGCTGCTTTTATAGCTTCATTTTTGTTTCTCATTGAATTAATTTAAGATAAAAGGGACAATCACTGGTTAATTTGTACTGCCTTGACTTTAAAAAAATCTTCAGAAATAAATTATATATGCTGTGAAATAATTAACAATTACTATTTTGTCATGAAGGATGTGAACAGATGCATTGAGGCCTTGGATGAACTTGCTTCACTTCAGGTCACAATGCAACAAGCTCAGAAACACACAGAGATGATTACAACCCTGAAAAAAGTAAGTATATCAACTCACATAGGCTTTAAACATTTTCATATTACTTCATTAAAAAAATAAGTATAAGAAAACAAACAACTAGGGAAACAATTATAAATATATATTGTTTTCTCAGATACGGCGATTCAAAGTTAGTCAAGTTATCATGGAAAAGTCTACCATGTTGTATAACAAGTTTAAGAACATGTTTTTGGTTGGTGAAGGAGATTCTGTCATCACACAAGTGTTGAATAAATCTCTTGCTGAACAAAGACAACATGAGGAAGCGAATAAAACCAAAGATCAAGGGAAGAAAGGCCCAAACAAAAAGCAAGAAAAAGAACAAACAGGTATGTATAATCTGAAGCCAGTTTTTAAAAAACTGTTTGCCAGGATTTCCTTTTAAAAATGGTTTACCAAGCCTGGGAATGTAGCTCAGTGGTAGAGCACTTGCTTGTGCTTGAGACTGTGGGTCTAATCCTCAGCATGGAATTGGATGGTAGGGTTTAAATATGGCTTTACTACATAGGCAAAAAATATACCTTCACCATCTGCCAATAAACTGGAAGTGACTACTAAAACATTGTTATCAACAATGAGGCTTCATTGTATTTTCATTGGCCTTGAGGTAGTCTTAAATAAAAATGTGTGATGGGCCTGTCAAACCACTTAAGCAGCACAGCAGCATGCCCTCAGAACAAGAAATCGTGTCAGTTTATAAAGTCAGGGTTCTAACACAAAAACCATAGTTAATGGGGCAAATGACCGGAGGAATGTAAAAACTCTATCTAGAACATTGTCTCCTCCCTAGAGGATTCGCTTCCTAGTCCAGCTTTCATTTCTCATCCACAGAAAACAAAACCAATCCCCAGGGTTCAATAATGGTGTGTGTGTGTGTGTGTGTGTATACACACACACACACACACACATACATATACATACACAGGCACACACATAATCTTTTAGTTGTAGTTGGACACAGTACCTTTATTTATTATGTGGTGCTGAGGATTGAACCCAGGGCCGCACACATGCTAGGTGAGCGCACTACTGCTGAGCCACATCCCTAGCCCCTCAATGTTTTGATCAAAACAGCATCACACTAACTGGGGCATGGTTGTATACCATGGGCTACTAAGGCAGGAGAATCACAAGTTCAAGGCCAGCCTCAGTAACTTATCAAGGTCCTAAACAACTTAGTGAGACCCTGCCTCAAAATTTAAAAAGGGGCTGGGATGTGACTCATTGGTTAAAATAGGCCCTGAGATCAATTCCCAGTATCCCAAACAAAACAAAAACCAAACAGCATCACAGGTGGAGCCTGAAAGTTGCTATATTTACAGCTGATGGGAGTATTCTGGCTCATGCTACTGTGCTTAGTCATGCTGAGCATATTATTTTTTAATTATATTAATGGGTTTTTTGTTTGCTTATGTGTAAATAAAAAATTAACAACTATATTATTTTTCTAATTATTCCTTTACCCATAAGTACATGCAGTAACTGTTTATTTCTGTGCATTAGCTGCACAAAGACTTGAGTGATGTTACTTGACAGTGAAGCTGTCCTGTATATTCCTGAAATGGCATCAAAACCCAATCCTAAAATTAAGTATTAGAAACTTAGGAGCCATGTTTTATTTTTTATTTTGAATCTTTAACAAAGTATTTCCATTGGAATCCTTTTAAAGGTTCAAAGACTCTGAATGGAGGATCTGATGCTCAAGACAGTAATCAGCCACAGCATAATGGAGATAGCAATGAAGAAAGTAAAGACAACCATGAGACCAGCAGTAAGAAAAAGTGAGGACATGTTTTAATGGGTCTGTGTGTGTGTGTGTTTTGAGGTGGGGTTTTGCTGTATAGCCCAAGCTGGCTTTGAACTCCTGGGCTCCAGTGATACTCCTGACTCAGAGTGACTTAGGTGTGCAGAGTAGCGCCTGGATCATGTTTTCTTTCCTTTTTTTTTGTAATCATAAGTTTTTGACCACAATACTTTAACCAAGGTGATTTAGTACTCAGGGTAGAACCTAGGGTAAGCACTCTATATAGCACCAGCAGGGTAGCATTTGATCACTTAATCCTTGAATTCAATAAGGAAATTGTAAATTGGCAAGAGAGGTGTCTCCCCAAAATCCTGTATACAAATAATTTGCTACTGTATTCAAGAAAATGGAGCTAGGTGGGAATTCTATAAAAAACGGTTTTCCCCGGTCTATCTTTCTACATGGCTTTTTATTGTGCTTTACCGTTGAGCTGTGTATTCTCAGCCCCAACACGATGTTAATGTCTTGCTTTCAAAATTCCTTCAATTGTGGAAGGATAAATGCATTAACAATTTAGATGTAGAATCATTGATTATTTTATACAGTAATCCTATACAACTGTAGTTGTCCAAAATTTTTGTTTGTTCAAAGGATGTGGAATCAAGCATCCCTTCAAATTGTGTAATTAAAAAATCTTGTCTATGTATTTTGGCATCACAGATAAAAAATTTTCATTCTGCCATGCGCCATGGTGGACACCTGTAATTCCAATGGCTTGGGAGGCTGAGGGAGGAGGATGGCAAGTTCAAAGCCAGCCTCAGCAAAAAAGCAAGGCGCTGAGCAACTCAGTGACACCCTATTTCTAAATAAAATACAAAGTAGGGCTCAGAATGTGGCTCAGGGGTCAAGTGCTCCTGAGTTCAATTCCTGGTACTAGAGGAAAGGCTTCTTTTCTATTATGCTTTCCTGGGTTATTGTGATCTTCAAATTACTTTAGGTAGAAGATTAAGGGTAAAATTTTGAAAATTTTGATGTGTCTTAAATAACAAGGTTTTTTGTTTTCATGTTTTGGTAATTTTAAAAATGTAATGCAGATTTAATGCCTTTTTTCCTTAGGAGAAAACCCTAATTTCAGTTGTCACACCTATCTTTCCCCCTTTTTCTTTAGGCCATCCGGTGAAGAGAGAGAGACTGAGATATCTCTGAAGGATTCTACACTAGATAACTAGGTTGACATACCTGGAATATAAAGAACATTTGACAAGTTTGTAATGGTTTTCCTTTGAAATATTTAGATTGCTGAAAGTTTTAAATTTTTATAAGCATAGGTTTTGATGTCTACAACTTGTTTTGAGGGAGATAATCCCTTTATCTTTGTTTAAAAGTAACTAAACATTATTGCTATTGTACTTGTGCAGTATTAACAGCTACATTATACAGTAAATGTTGGGGGGTAATCCACTTAGAAATGTTAAAACTGCTTTTCCAGATATGGTTGTAGCATATTTTCAATTAGTGTGTGTATGTTAATGTGTAATTGGTAGTAAAACAGTTACATTTTTTAAACTGCTACTTGTATAAATCCTCTTTTCCCAAATACTGTGGGTTTTGTGCATAGTTTTTACAAATCTTGGACAGAGTGTCTTTTCACTGTGGGTTTTGTAGAAGTTGAGCATTTTTATGGTTGATAAAATGTTACTTCTATACAAGTACTCACTCCCTCCTTTTTTATCAAAAGTTAATTTTAATATCAGTCCACATTGTGCTCCATTCTGCTTTTTTGTAACAGTATCATCTGTATTCCTTTTTATCCAATTGACATCAAACTGACTTCTATGAGGTTCAACTTATGTTAAGATAATTTAGTTTTGTGGCTGGGAATTTAGTGAAGGCACATGACTTTCCTGCAGAGAACAGACTGGGCATTATATATGTATATGAATGAATCTGATTTTAGAGTTCAACCATTTAAGATCCTTTACAGGCACTAATAAATAAAACTAAAAATGTTTATTTTTGAGAAATGTCTTAAGTCACATTCATTAAGGAAGTCACAAAGTAGTATTTTTTTAATTGGGAAAAAAGTCAATCCATGATGCTTATGTGGTAAATATAAATAAATGCTATATAAAGAAACCTATTTGAAAATGTGGCTATATTAGAAGGGAATTTGTATTTTCATTTCTATATCATATATGTAACAGGGTTACAAAAAATAGAAATATTAGTTGCTCCAAGGTAGTATTTGACAAGTCTGTATTTTGATGTATATGGACTAAATCTGGAAGAACCAACGTTAACACAAAATTTAATAGTCTGTTAACTAAAGGATAGCATTTCTAAGATATTTTAAATATTAGGTCAGTTGGTGGTTTTCAATAGGTAGGTAGTAGATACATTTTGAAACTCTTATGAATATGGGAAAATGACTTAATACCAGTGTTTGTAACATGTGTTGTAAGTTTTGATCTCTTGATAATTATTTTCATCTATACAACTTGAATTATTTGGATAATTGAATTTTTGCTTTTTAGAAGTCTTACAATGGAGCTAAGACCCACTGTTTTGAGGGAACTCTGCTATTACATTATATATACACCAGTCATCTGTTTTGTCCTAACAGTTTTAACTTAGATTTATTCTAGTTGAGCCATAAGTGTCAAATGTGTAAACTTGTTTTGATTAAAGAATTTTTCTATCAAACTCCATTAGTAAATTACTTCTTTGCTGTTTTAAGAGTTTAAGGAAATAACTATTATCTGGTTATTCATCCTGTTTGGGGACACAGGGTTAACTAAATATAAGTACAAGATGATTTAAAAATAAAGGAAATATTTTTTTTTTTTGTTCTCCCTCCCCTTTTTTCCGATGACCCAAAATGATCTATAGTTTTACCAAGAAGCCACAGAATATTCAACTTCTGGAGATAATAGCAGCATTCTGATAATTTCTTTCTTCATATAAGGCTCACCTTGCTCTAACCAGTTAACCTTCTTTGAAATATTCTTTGTCATAGGTGATTCATGGATAACTGCCACTCTCAGGACTCACCAAAAAAGGTCATCAAGACCTTTAAGGCATTGGCAATATTTGGTTTAAATTCCTTAGCTAAGAGATAATTGCTAACCCCCACCCCCCAAAAAAGTATGTGTAGAATCTGAACAATACCTTTTGTGCTATTTGATCACTGGATAACATTTTGGAAGAGTAATTGATTGCTGAAGGTTTCTCAGCTGCTTGAATCAGAGAACCTGACTGGGAATTTGTATGGATAATTTGATCAGAGTATCTTAAGGCTCAGCTATTGTAGCTGTATCTAGTGAGATATAATTTTTTAAACTAAAGATGTTCCTACCCATACCCACTTACCTGGTTAAAGATGTAATGTCAGCAGGAGGTCTGCTATCTAATTCTGGATGAGAGCAAAGGCTTTTTTTTTTTCCCCCTCAATTGTTCAGTTGACCAGAGATTATTAGAAATAGATAACCCTTAAGAAATGAAGAAGCCATTAATAGGCAAAATTTTATGTTTATATTTGTCTTGTGTAATTGTCCAACACTAATGACTGATCTTTCCCCCAGTAAAACTGCAGTGTCTAATTATCCCTAAGGGAATCTGAAGCCTGAGAAAAATATTAAAAGAAATAGTTAACTGCTTTTCTGTGTAGTGATCTTTTGCATGCATCTTCTATTATATCAAAATTAAGTTCATGACATTTTCTTATTTCTTCATTGATGTATATCATAATTCATGGTGTAAAGTATGGTGTGTTTAATAGATTGAAATAAGCTTAAAGAAAGGCTGTCTTTGATTTGGGTGTTTTGTTGTTTTTAACTTGGTGGGATACTCACATGAGTAACACTGGCAAATTGTGGTATGGCCTGGTTCTTCTCAGTTTCACCAGGAAACAACAGTAGATTCTTTGGATAAGTTGAACTATCAGAATAGAATAACATTCTCAATAAGTGATAAAATAAGTATGCATTATGATAATTAACTTGCTGGGACTTGCTGTTTTGAGAGTATGAAATGAAAATTAAAGCATATTAATGCAAGACGTGTAAGAAATGCAGTATTAAAAATAACTTTTACCTGTGGACTTCTAGGAAGTGGGTAAATCACTCATTTGTCTTAAATCTATGATTTTCCAGCAGAATTTTCTATCTGTTCAATGTTACTGGCAGCACTGGATACAGGAAAGTAAAAATTTAGGCACAATGTAAGGCAGCCATGGAGGGGCCTCTTTAGTTCTCTATGCCTATGCTGATCCTCTACTGATTGAATGAGTGAATGAAAACACCTCTAGACATACCAGAAACAGGTACTTGTCATCACCATATCATTCAACTTAATATTGTATATGTGGCATATAGTCCATGAATCATACTTCACTGTCAGTCTTTGAAATAGGCTTACAGGCTTCATCAGTTTTTGATTTCTAAATGTCTTTTCTCAGCCATCCAAAGAAATGTACAATTCAGCTGAATTTAAATATAACCTAGGAGAGAGAGAGTAAAAATTATAGTGAAAATCTATTTTATAGCATTTCTTAAAGTCTTAAGAAATTGAATTTTACAATAAAAAAAGTTTCCAGAAAATATTCTAATCAGGAAACTTTAGTTTCTTTCAAGCTAGGTGTGTGGTAGACTCCTGTAATCCCAACTACTTGGGAGATTGAGGATGGAGGATCCATAGTTCAAGCTAGTAGCTTGAACCACATAGCAAAACACCACCTCAAAAACAAAAAACTTTTCCGTAAATTATAAGATTAGGAGAATGGAAGAGCTGGGTTAGAAAAGTATTCTTTCCCTCTTTTTGAGAAAACTGTTACATATTATTGAGTATTATTGCTCAATCCATTGGATCTTGATTTTTCCCTATCTCCATGGTAATACCCAATCTGCTATTTTCTTTTAAATTGACATTTTAAACCGATAACATTTGTGAATATACAAAATTTCAAGAAGTGAGGCTTTATTTTAAATACTGTGAAGATGTGTACATACTTGAGCTTTTTACATTCATTACTCATGTATCTAGGGAGATACATGAATGTCTTGTGTGCTTATTCATATCAAGATACTTAATATCACAAAAGAGACCACTGAATGACACAATAGCTATTCTTGTTTTTAACTTCTTCCTAATTTTTATTACAGATATTTAAAGGATCTTTACCTTGGAAGCCTCATGGTAGAAGGTGTAGCAATCACATTCTTCAAAGAATTTTCAAAACATTTCCACCGCTTGATGTATCATTGATTCTAGCATTAGCAAAAAATACTCAGGATACAGAATGAATAGGCAAGCATGGATTGGGAGAAAAGAATCAGAATTTGTTTATGTGACAAAAGATTAATATATTCAGAATATATGAAGTACTTCTTCAACAAGATAAAATGAGTAAAAAGCAATAAATAAATATACTCTGGAATAAATACTAAGTGAAATAATTTAGCATTTTCTAAATATTTGGACCTGTTTTTAATTAAAGGTTCCAGGATCAACATAAGGATAAGCAAGGAATTCCCCCAGTTTGTTGCCTTCTGAATCGTAGTGGAGCATTCGGAAGCAAACATCACAAAAGAAACATGGGTCCTCTGGTGCAAAACTGTCACTGTTCGTCACCCATCTGTAGTTTTTAGAAAAAGATGTATGTCATTATAAATCAAGTTTTTCATGCCTCAACATGCTATAACCTGTAAACAGAACATTCCCACTATTATCAGTCCATGCCCCTAACACTAATGCTGCTGCTTTGTAAAACTTCCTTTTAAAGGTAAGTAGAAAACTATAATAATCTCAAAATGTATACTCAAAAGTATACATTTGCCATGATACAACCTGTCCTCCAGACATGTTCTATTTCTTCTAAAAGGCAATCTTAAACACACAGACTCAATATAATTCTACATGCTGGCAAACCTCAAACTCTTTCCAGTTATATATCAAATTGTTTAGATCACAGTTATGTTATTGTGTCCCACCTGTGCTGTTCTAATTTTAATATGTGTGCTTCTGAAAACAATTCCTTTTTTAAACTGGTATATTAGTACTGTTGTTCTGAAAACACGAATGTTTTAAATTCTAAATTAGACACAAGGGAATGTGTGCATAGTGATATTCAAGTGAGATTGTTTTTGGGATTGAGAATGTTAACTGTTCACAGGATGAAAATACTACTTTCCAGTCTAATTGAAGTCTCCATTTCATGGAATGTTTGCTTTTAATATCTTGATCTGGTAAACTGATTTGTTTTTCTATTGATCCTTTAAATGTGTATTATTGGGGCTGGGGTTGTGGCTCAGTGGTAGAGCACTCGCCTAGTATGTGTGAGGCACTGGGTCAATCCTCAGCATCACATTATTTAATAAAAAGTTTTGTTAAGTATATTGTGGTTGGGAATCCAAAATAAACTTTTAAGGTACTAAATTCTTCCTATTTTGAGTAGTTTCCGAACTTTGTTTTACTTTGATCTACAGTAAGAAACACATTGTAATCTAAACATGCAGAATCACATACAGCAAAATTTTTTAAGAAACCCATATTTGGATCTCACAAAACAAACTCACTACCTGGTTTTACTAGTACTACAAATAACAAAAAGTGCAAAGTATTACTTCTAAAAGGAAAAGAAAAAAAATACACATTACTCACCTAGCTGTGTACATTTTACAAACAAAACATTTTCTGGTCCATAGCCAGTGTTTCTTGGTAAGAAGGGGATAAAGTGTTCTATCCAGACAGTCATCATAATGTACAAGCCTGTTCATTGGAAAATAAATGAAGATATTAAAGTGCAAATTTTCACTTCAAGATACTCCCAGTTTGATCATAGGGGGACCACTCTCACATCTATGTCACTACTGCTATTACAGTGCTGGCAAAGAAGTAAACTGTCATTGCAATGCAAAGGGAGAAGGGAGGAGGGGTCTGAGAGCAAGGTGTTCATTCCTATGAGACTTCCAAGTTCCCATACTAATAGGCACTGGAGCTATCAGACATAGTATCTCTTAAATATATTCTATCCTAATTCTTGATCTGCTTAACAACTTTGTTCCATTAAAAGGTGGGTACTTTAAGCAAGGCTGCTCAGTGATACTTTACCTAGATTAACTGGTTGTTATCACGTTGTCTGTGTTTATTGTTGTTTGCACTAAAAATCCAAATCTCATTCCTGGTACATAAATCAGTGGGATTTTAGTTTTAGGTGTCAGAGCTATGAAACTTAGGTTTTAAGAAACTAATCTGGGGGCTGGGGATGTATGTGGCTCAAGCGGTAGCGCGCTCGCCTGGCATGCGTGCGGCCCAGGTTCAATCCTCAGCACCACATACAAAGATGTTGTGTCCGCCAAAGACTAAAAAATAAATATTAAAAAAATTCTCTCTTTAGTTTCTTTTTCTTTTTAACGAGAGAATTTTTTAAATATTATTTAGTTTTTGGCGGACACAACATCTTTGTGTTACTAATCTGAAGTCAGTTTCTACTAATCAGCTGCGTGGCTTTGGGTAAATGCCTTAAACCATAATGGACCAATTCTCTTCCTCTGAAAACTGAAAAGAACTGCAAGGCTATCAAATTTGATTTTTCACTTGATTATTTGTTTGTTTTTGGTTAAGAAAGGATACCAATATATGAAAACTTCATCTTCAAAAAAATGATTAAACCATAAAGACTGTGGAATGGCATTAAATGGTTAAATCAACCTATAAGATGAAAATGACCTGAATTATTAACTGCCTTTCCTTAGCACTGAGACAGATAATTGTTTCTTTTGTTGACCAATTCATCAACAAGTTCCCTTGAGTTTAAGTGCCATGTTTTATTCTACAGCCTTGGAATGACACTGGTTACAGCAGTATGCCCACACCTTCAGAGAACAGTGGGTGTGATCTTCCATCTTTTTCCGTTTTATTGGTGGTGCTGGGATTGAACCCAGCTTCAGACATGCTAGTTAATCTGGTTTACCACAGAGCCAGGCTTCCTCAACCCCTTTCCATCTTATTTTGTCATAAGGCAAGCACATTCCTCCTCCTTTGAATGGAAGAGTAGGCTTATATATTACCAAAGACAAATACACCATAATTAGTTTTAAAGGTCAGATTTCAAATAAATCTGAAGTTAACTCTCCTGGATCTTGCCTCACCCACTAGGGAAAATTTCTTCCATTCTTAATTTAATCCACCTAAGTCATACAATTAAAGATGGATGCACTATATTTTTATGTGGTGCTGAGGATTGAACCCAGTGCCTCACACATGTGAGGCAAGCGCTCTACCTCTGAGCTCTACCCCAGCCCCACAATTTACTCTCTTCTTGTTTTTGGGGGGGAGGGTGGGGGGACATGGGGGTTGAACTCAGGGGCACTTGGCCACTGAGCACATCTCCAGCCTATTTGGTATTTTACTTAGAGACAGGGCTTATTGAGTTGCTCAGAGCCTCGCTGTTGCTGAGTCTGGCTTTGAACTTGCGATCCTCCTGCCTCAGCCTCTGAGCTACTGAGATTACAGGCATGTGCTACTGTGCCCAGTTTACAATTTCACTTATTGTGTAACATTTTGTTTTCTAACTACTAAGTTTCTCATGTTTCCATTTGTTTAACTTGCAATGTACATGTCTCTAATTCAGTTCTCTATTTTCTGACTTAATAGGAACAACGTATCAGGGTTAAACAACAAAAGGAAGTTCTTTGGGTCTATTTTCTTCTCACACATGTCTCTTCAGTTCTCCAAGCATCCGGCTGCAGTCTCTGGATCTATCATGTTGGATTTCACTTTTCCATTAGAATAAATAATTCTCTTTAGGCCTTACCACACATCTTACATCTTTATCAAGACTATTTGTGAAGTACTTTCAGTGGTAGCTTCCTAAGAATGATTAATAAGGATATAAAATTTTAGAGACTGATCACTAAGACCTGAAAACAGAAAAAGGGACTTTCTAGAAGCATCAGTTCCTATTATTTATATAATAAAAACAGGTATATCTGTTCCATGAAAAACTTAGTCTCAGAATGAATCAAAGCAGCAGTAAAGCAGGACTTTACTGCTTCTGCCTCAGCCTCGGAGTTGTTAAGATTACAGGCATGTACCACCATGCCCAGCTTCTGTTTTCTGTTTTTGATACTGGGAATTGAACCCAGCTTCACATGGGGCACTGACAGAGCTTACATCCCAGCTCCTTTTATTTTGGATTTTTAGAGTCTCTTAAGTAGCTGAGACTGGACTTGAACTTGCAATCCATCCTCCTGTCTCAGTCTCCCAAGTCGCTAGAATTTCAGGCATATGCCTATACCCAGCTCCAATTCTCTTCTTTTAAAAGACAAAAAACTTTAGAATTAGGGTTGGGAGTGTAGTTCAGTGATACAGCACTTGCCTAGGATGCATGAGGTCTCGGGTTTGATTCCCCAGCACCACAGAGGGAAAAATGAAAAATAGAAACCTAGGAATATCCACATAGTAGCAACATGTATAAAGCAAAGGGCCTACATGATATACAGAATGAATATACAAATGGAGAAACTTTTAAAAGAATTTACAGATTTTTAAACTAGTAATAAGTATCTCTTGAAGATGCAAATGGACACACAGAATTGGTCACTACATGGAAAACAAGACATTTTTTGCTGCTCCAAAACCAAGCTGCAGTGATGATTCCTTTTATTAAAAAAAAAGAAAGGAAAAACTACTTGTGCGTTTATAGTGAGAAATAAAGAGAAGAAAATTGAATAACAAAATGTGCCGCCACTTACCTTATGTCTGTAATGACAACAACATGTTCACAGTCTCCCTGGTGACAATATAAGTAAGGAAAACCCAGCTTAATATTCAGGTCATTGAAGGTAAAATCTTCCATTCTAGCTGTCTGAAACTTTCCATATCCTCTATCATGGGACTCTGACCACTCAATGATAGTTCTGAGGGAAGAAAAAAATGCCAGAATCTATCACTGCTCCACAGAAATTAGGAAAGGATTAGTGGCAGCTGAATTTCACATCAGCTGGCTCATCCAATTAACTGGACAGATGCCACCTTGACAGGAAGACCATATCAGTATATACATTCTGGAATCAGACACAATGAATTTTCTTCATCTGTTAGTATCAGTTCTCAAAGTGTGGTCCCTGAGGTCAAAATCATACTAAGCCTTATCTCTCATCCTCTCACAACCAACCAATTTATTGGAGGCTGGGTGATGCTTATCACTTCAGCTTGAAATGCAAAATACATAACAATGCTACTCTTCTCATTTTATTTTGGACAATGTATTTTTCACAAAAATGTAAATGTAACAAGATTAACTATCTTAAATATTTCTTAGTTTCACAATTTCTAATACAATAGATACAACTATAACCCATAAGTTCTTTGGGAACCTCAACTTTTTACCCCATCAAGGGGAGCTAAGACCAAGGGGAGCTAAGACCAAGTTTGAGAACTGCTGCACTAGAATATATACTGAGGCCAAGTACAGTGGTATACATGTGTAATCTCAGTTACTAGGAAGGCTGAAGCAGACTACAAGTTTGAGGCTGGCCTCAGCAACTTAGTGAGACCGTCTCAAAATAAAAAGGGCTAAGAACACGTCTTAGTGGTACAGCACCCTGGGTTTGATCTCCAGTACCACAAAAATGTGGGAAGGGTGGGGGCTATAAAGCAAGCATTTATATTAACTGCTCAGAAAAAATACAAATGTAGGGTCTTACTATGAGAACACTGATAATGGAAGTATGGTCTAATTAAAATGGTATTAGAGGTGGGCTAGGGCTATGGGTCAGTGGTAGAGCACTCATCTTGCATGTGTGAGGCCCTGGGTTTAATCCTCAGCACCACACAAAGATGCATAAAATAAAGGTATTGTGTCCATTGACAACAAAAAATATATATATTTTAAAAAATAAATAAATAAAATGGTACTAGAGGTAAATTTTTATGTTAAATACCAAAACACCATTATATATTCATTCACCTAGGGCAAACAACAGTATCTTCTGAACAAGCAGAAGAAAGAGTTTAAACATAAAGACTGGAGACTAATAAAATCTTAGTCTTGGACCTAATTTTTTTTAGATATGTGTAATTTCAATATGAAATTTATAAAATTCCTTGGCAAAGATCCTTAATGGACTAATAATAGGATTTGTGGAGCTATCTGTTTTTAGAAGTAGAAAAAGGAAAGGACTTAGAGAAAATTTTTGTAAACTATACCTGCTCAAATCTCTGCATTCTGGGTATCTTTTATCATTGTAGAATGTTCCCTCAAAATAGAAGAAGGCTGATTTGTATAGGTCCTACAAGAAAACAAATGGTATTGAGAGAAAGCCTACTCTTAATTATGGAATTGATCTAAGTATGTAGAATTTATATAGCATAAGATAACATATATTAAAGCAACTTCTGGAAACTCAGGTCATACATTTGTCTAAAATTTAATGGGAACCTACTATGCAAAAAGTATTACATTAGTTTTCAAGGCTTTTTCAATTTTACCCTATTGCTAGAGGTGGTTTTTCTTTTTTCTTTTGGTACCAGGGACTGGACGGGTACTGAAACATTAAGCTACATCCCCAGCCCTTTTTATTCTTGATTTTGAGACGCAGTCTTGCTACGTTACTTAGGGCCTCACTAAGTTGTTAAGGCTGGCTTTGAACTTGCTATCTTCTTGCCTCCACCTCCAGAGTTGCTGAAATTTCTATTCTTAAAATAATCTTTCCTTGGGTACCATAGTAGTAGGCACAGTAGTGGGATCTGAACTTTTTACAGTTAACTTTCTTTCTTTTTTTTTTTTTTGTCATCAGCAGTTTTATTTATTTAGTTTAGCATATGCTAGAATACATAACCTCATGCCATTTCTTATCATAAGTAGTCTTTTACATAATTAATTTGTGCCTAACATTTTATATAACAAAAGAAAAAATGAATCTGTAAATTATCAGAAAAGAGCATAGGTATAGGAAAATAATACATTTTTATATAAATTATAAAGGACAGTTACAATGGAAATCCACTAATTTCCTCTCTCAGTTTTATCAAATAAAGTCAACACACATTATTCTGTGAGCTGCTAAGAATGTACAAACACTGTGGCCCTTTCGAAAGAGAGTAGTCAAAGAGGGAACGTTATCTTGATATACCCTGTTCTCAGTTCTTAACTGGAGTTGAGCTTCCTTTCATAGTCTTCTTTAGGTGGTGATAATTTGGCAAGATTTTCATCAAGAAATCCAGTTGTAGAGTCTGGGGCTGTGGTCGCTCAGTTTGCACCCGACGAAGGCAGTCTGCACCATAGATCACTGTATTCTCAGGGATGACTTCAAAAGTATTTAGGTTGCAACAAGCCCCAATGATGCAACCACTTGTCAATATTACATTTCTGCCTACATATGCTTTTGATTCAATGACATTGTTATCCCCCATTTTCATGGCTTGGGAATAACAGCCAACTTCAAACACATTGTTGGTGCCAATGATCATAGGTTTGGGTTCTGGATCTTCAGTGTCAGGAGTGATATTATCTGGATGAGCATTTATGATGAGGGCCTGTTCTTCTATCAGGTTACCTTCACCAATCACTATTGGCCCAGCTTCAGCAATAATTCGTGCTTTGGGGTGAATCACCGTCCTTGGTCCTCTTTTGAGTCTTCTCCGCCATTGTACGGGCCTGATCTACAGCTGGAGCTCTACAGTTAACTTTCAATCTATCAGACTTTCCATCAATCCATCTTCACTGCATAACAGAATCAGAAAAACATCAAAGACCAAGTCTCACCTCAGACTCATTAAATGAGCACCTCTAAATATGAGGCCCAGGTCATAAGTATTTCTCCAAACCTCTCTAGGAAAAATATGCAACCAGAGCTAAGAATCATTTTATTAGATTTGTCCTTTACCAATATGTAGAAACAGACCCCTGGCTGAGCATCAGAGAATCTGAATTATTTTCCTTAACCCACCACTTAGTAACTTACTATCTTTGTGATTCTAGGTACATAATAATCTTTCTTCAGACTTCAGTTTCTTCACCTATAAAGTGAGAATAATATTATTTCCTAGAGTATTTTACAAGGACTGCAGTGAGAATCAAAAGCAAGAATTTAAGTTTCAGATATTAAAATAATTTTAACCTAATCCTATAACTTCTTTTCTTTGTAGCTCTGATTTTTCCTTCTTAATAATCTTTATTTCCCCATTTGTAAATCATCTTACATTGGCAACAGACACAACTGGTTGTGCTGTTTCACCTTGGATAGGTCACTAAATCTCACTGACCCTGTTTCCTCTAAAGTAAAAGCCATCACATTCTTCACAGGTTGTTGTGGAGATAAAAAGATATAATGTATTTAATACCATATTTGTCTGCTACAACAAAATCTATCACTTAGTATACTTGTAGAAATCTCAAAGTGGGGAAGCGAGGGTCGAAAAAGTTCTGACAGAATAACTTGTTTTATTTTGGAAGCAAAGTGTAATGAGGGTCCATTTCATGCTTTGAACATAACCCTTGCTGCTTTGCCACTGCAGCTTATTTTAAAACTGACATTTTCCCCCACTTCTTTTCTTCCCTTGCTCCCTCACTAACCCTGGTGGAAAGCAAGCTTACCCTTTTTCCTGTTCTAGGCCAAGTTATCTGTTCTTAAACACACACACACACACACACACACACACACACACCACAGGAATAAAGTAATTCAGACTTCAGGAAGGTGCCAGAAAACTGAAGATATGGCTATCTTGAAAGTCTACAAATGAATCATGATCTCTGACAAGTCACAGCTGAAATGTAGCCTTTAAATCACCTCTAAAAGTCCTCTGGTTTCCCCTGAGAGTCAAAATCACAGTCTCTGAGACAGAAGTCCCTGTATTTGTCCTTTGTTAGCAACACAATAACACTTTTTCCTTTTTCTCAAAACCTTGTTCTCATTATTGGATTGGCATTTGGGAAAAAGGATGGAGCTTTTGGTAATAAGTTTGGTGTATATAAAACTTTTGATCATTACAAAATACTTATAGAGAAGTAATTCTTATGTAATTTAAACAACTTAAAGCCTACCGACATAATTAATTACAAAGCACACACCTATAATCCCAGCTACACGAAAGGCTCTGGATCACAAATTCAAGGCTAGCCTATGCAAATTAGTGAGTACCTGTCTCAAAAAATTTTAAAAGGGCTGGGATAGCTCCTTGTTAAAGTGCTTACATAGCATGCATGAGGCCCTGAGGAAGGGGGGCTGGGGGACGTAAACACACAGGTTGTTGTTAATCTAGTGTAACCTAAGTTTGTAGTTACTGTTTTCATTTACAAATTAACTATCACTAGTATGGTCATCTGACATTTTTTTTTTTTTTTTTTTTTTAGAATTTTAATATTTGTTTTTTAATTTTTGGCAGACACAACATCTTTGTTTGTATGTAGTGCTGAGGATCGAACCCGGGCCGCACGCATGCCAGACGAGCGCGCTACCACTTGAGCCACATCCCCAGCCCAAGATAATTTCTTGTGTGTAATTTTAGGCTATTTACTAGTAATTTACTTGCTCAAAAACATTCAAATCAGCTACATTAGAATTTCAGAGATATTCTTGTAATCTGCTGTGAGGAAAATGATCTTGGAAAAGAAGTGCTGAAGAAGCACGGTTATAGATTTTTTTTAAAAAAACATACTTTTTAATTGTAGATGAACACAATACCTTTATTTATTTATTTTTTATGTGGTGCTGAGGATCAAACCCAGTGCCTAACACGTGCTAGCCCAGCATTCTACTGGGCTTAGTGTCAAGACACTAAGCCACAATCTCCAGCCCTAGATTTTTTTTTTTAACTTGAGGGCTGGGGCTGTGGGTCAGTGGTAGTGCTCGCATAGCATGCGTGAGGCACTGGGTTTAATCCTCAGCACAACATAAAAACAAAATAATAAAGATATTGTGTCCACCTACAACTAAAAATAATTTTTTTTTTTTTAAAGATTGACTGATCGGGGCTGAGATTGTGGCTCAGTGGTAGAGCGCTTGCCTAGCACAGGCGGGACCTGGGTTCGAGCCTCAGCACCACATAAAAATAAAAGCCATTGTGTTGTGTCCATCTACACCTAAAAAAAAAAATATATTAAAAAAAAGATTGACTAATCTATGCAAAGTAGAAATGGTAAATAGATTAGACATTAAAACATGAGGAACCATTAAAAAAACTTATTAAAAAACTTTTTTTTTTTGGTACTGGGGAATCAAATGCAGTGCTGCTTTACCACTAAACTACATCTCCATCCCTTTTTATTTTGAGACAGTTGCCAGGTTGGCCTCAAATTTGTGATCCTACTGCCTCAAACCTCCCATGTTGCTGGGATTGTAGCTGTGTACCACTGTGCCTGGCTACTGGCAGTGATGTTTATTTTAAAAACCTACTCTATTCTTGAACTATTATGGACCAAAACCAAATAGCAAAGCACATTACATTTTAAGGCTTTAAAAGAGATTAATGACATTGACCAAACTCTCCCAGTCCTGTCATATGAAATTTATTTTAAAATATTTATTGGCTAGGGGCTGAAGTTGTAGCTCAGTGGCAGAGCGCTTGCCTAGAGTATATGTGAGGCACTGGGTTCAATTCCCAACACCACATATAAATAAATAAATAAACAAAATAAAGGTCCATCAACAACTAAAAAAATGTAAAAAAAAAAAAAAAAAAAAATTTAGGGCTGGGGTTGTGGTTCAGTGGCAATGTGCTTAAATAGCATGTGTGAGGAACTGGGTTCAATCCTCAGCACCACATTAAAAAAAAAAAAGGTATTTTGTGTCCATCTACAACTAAGAATAAAAAATAAAAAAATTTATTGGTTGGAATAAAAATTCTTATTTCCTCAGTCATAAAAGCTATAGCTTCCTAATTTGTTCCACCGTTGCCAATGAAATATATGCCAAATATATCCCTGTCCCTGACAGCATGAGAACTCCATTATTTTCGAAGTTTTTAGGTATTATGATACCATACGGTGAATACATGAAATAATTTTGTCAAGACACCGAGAAATACTGAAGGTGGGTAATGGGTACATAAGAGTTCTTTATACTATTCTCTTTCTTGTTGGTTTGTTTGAAATTTTCCAACAAAAACCTTAAAAAAAAATTCCATAAAATACAAAGGCTCCAATCAACGAAATAAAAATCTTTCCAAGGCTAAAAGATAACATTAGCAAAATCTAATTTATATGCATTTGCCTTTCTAAAATATAGCTGAAGAACCAGAAGTAAACAAGATAGGTCTCTGAATAGATTCCAGGAAGTCCATGCACTAGAAGCCTCTGAAGTATTTTATTCATCACTGCTTAAGATTTCACTCATGGATTAAGTAAACAAAAGAGGAGAGAAAGACATCTAAAACCAGGTACAATGCCAGCCACATAGCAAAGAAGAAAGAACATGGGCCTCTCAAGAGGAAATGACAGGGATCTGAATTCAGCCTCCATTGCTGCTTATTGAACTACGGCAACTCCTAACAGTATCTGAACTCTTCCTTACCTGTAAAATAGTGGTAGTTCTCATATACTTAGCTCAATAAAAGAAGGTATTATCTTACCAGATGGAAGAGGCAGAAACAATACTACAGTAGATGTGTAAATATTTTGAAATGGTACCATGCGTCATTTAGCCCCTGCTTAGAAAACAAGGCATTAGCATCAATGTACACACTATAAATTAACTAAACCTGATTGAAAACAATCTCCATGGTTTCATGGAGGTTAAAACTGATTCCCAAATCCGACTCAAACTACTCAGTGTATTGATGACAAGGTTGCAATGACAAGGGTGAATTCAGATTTTTCTTGTTAAATTGATTTTATCACTTTGTGTGGGGGAAGATTAAGAAACTTTGCAGAAGATTGCTGTTTGCTTCTCCTTTGAAGAAAAAATAAATCTCATATTTCCTGCTTTGTAGAGTCTTGAAATTCCTCTTATTTCTCATCATAATCATCTTCAAAAGCACTGAACCTGGCAGCTCTGAAGAATCTAATTATCTTTTTTTATAATTTTTTTAAAATTTATTTTTTAGTTGTAGTTGGACACAATACCTTTATTTTATTTATATGTGGTGCTGAGGATCGAACCCAGGGTCCTGCACGTGTGAGGCAAGTGCTCTACTGCTGAGCTACAACCCCAGCCCCAGAACCTAAATATCTTAAAAAATCATTTTCAATATAACTCAAAAATATTTTAAGTTTTTAATCTGTATGTAAGATATGATGATAGTCTCCATGTCAATCACTGAAAAGACTAGAAGACAGCCAGCCTGTGGGCCAGACAGACACACATCAAACAGCATCAGTATATTGTAATATGAGCATGGAATAAATCAAAAGGTGCTAGAGAGGCAAAGAGAAGACAGTCAAGAAAAACTGCATAGTAAGTGAATTTTGAGCTGGATTTGGAAATATGAGTATGAACTCACCAGATGCATGGAGGTGTTGAAATACCCAGAGGCATGACAAAGTATGGGATGCATTAGGAAGACACACAAATTCAATGTGCTGAATGAAGCCCAAGATATAGAGATAGGAAGTATGAAAGGAGTTAATTTGGGAATCACTATTATAAAAGGCCTTATATGTCAAACTAAGAAGAGATAAAAATTGATGTAACTGGTGGAAAAGGAAACGGCAAACAGGAGATTGTATTGGTTCTTGTCCAAACTCTATCTCCATCTTTACTGTTCTAAATCCCTCTTTACATTTCTACAGAAGAGATTCTTTCTCCTACAGTGGGTCAGTTAGGCCTGGGGTTGTAATAGGTAACAGAATTAATTCAGCTCTATGCTGAAACACAGAAGAATCTTGCTTAGATGAGCAATGAAAATTCTGAGGATAGCCAGCTTGTCAACTCTGCTCCTTTTAGAGGGGTATCCAAGGTTTCTCTGTCCTGTGGAGAACACCACAGGACAAACACTAGCAAGGACCAACTCCATCTATCATCTCCCTGATTGGTGTTAGTCACTGTACTAACAGGCCCTTTTACACTCCGAGAAATGTGAAGAAGGGGAGCAATTATTGAGGCTTTCAGGCAATTTTATGCTAAGGGTAGTTATGACAGATTTAAACTCCCAGAGTTTGAAACAAGAGGGAGTGAACAGCAAAGTCAAATGCAACAGTGAGGCTGGGTAGCTTAGCGGTAGACCACCTGCTGAGCATGCCCCAGCATCAAAAAAAAGCACTAATTGGTCAAATAACTGTGTGGTCAAGAGCAGGAGTGTTCTTAGAATAGATGAGAAATGAGGAAGTCAAGATAAGAATATCACTTCTATGAAAAAGTTCTGATGATGTAGAGAAGGAAAAGGCAGGTCAGCAGCTTGATGGAATCACACAGAAGGAAGCACTGACTAGAATACTGATGAACCTGCCAGAGTAACCACTATTTCCTTAGTTTACTGTTGGTTTTTTGTGGGGAGGAGCAGGAAATCACCTTACTTTGCTGATGTGCTCAGGAGCTTGGTCAGGAGTGTTGCTGAACTCTCCACCAATCTGGAGGTCACTGACACAGCAAATCGAATCCCTCAGTTCAGTAAGCTTTTGACTGCCCAGGACCTGCATCGTCTGGTATGGTTTGTGTTCTTTGTGCTAAAAGTCAAACAGTAAATAAGTAAATGTCCACTTATAGTAAAAGTATTTAAACCAGAAATCCTGTTATAAACAGACCTAAATGAAGTTACTGATTTTCTTAATCCTTGTAACTTGGTGTTCTGTTTTCTCAGACTGTGAATTTGTCTGAAAACTTCCATGAATTATATCACCAAACTAATGGTAAAAGTTGTTTACAACTCCCCTGTGGCCCACAGCCCATATTCTAAAACCACCTCCTTTGTCTAACCCTCAAACCCAGCCAGTATTTCCCTGGTGCTCTGTCAGCTTAAATTAACCAGGGTCAGGCAGCTGATGACAAGGGCCAGCCTTATGTCCCCAACTCACTGCAATTACTGAAACCACAGAGTCCTAAATATTTTCCCTGCCCTACCTGGCTGCTGCTGTAGAAACTCCTGCAGGTTGTGCTCTAGGTCTCCCCTCTCCTTACTGCCCTCTGTAGCCCTGTGTGGTGCGCCCTCTCTCAGGAAATTTAAGTAATAAACATCTTTCTATGGCTTTAATCTCTTTCTCAATCACCTCCACAAATGAAAATCCCATGAGTACAATTGAAATACCTGGCCACAGAATTCTTCTAGTTTAAGTGTATGATCAAGATGCCACTAAGCTGATCCAAGGATTAAGAGCCTACAGAATGTAACTTTATCTGCCACATCTATCAGCTTCGTCTTTGAAATTTTCCTACAGGTTGTATCACTGAAGTCAAGCACTCAGGTTATAAACCCAAAAGTTTCATTTTTTTAAATGGTAATTTGAGATACTAATCAAACAAGGTAATTAGTATTAAGTACACTGCAGACACTTCATAAAAGCCTGTTTATTTATAAGTACAATCTATGCATAGCAATATTTCTCTCTCTCTCTCTTTTGTTTTTTTTTTTTTTGGTACAGGTGATTGAACCCAGGTCACTTGATCACTAAACTAAATGCCCAGTCCTTTTGATTTTGAGATAGGATCTCACTAAGTTGCTGAAATTGGCCTTTAATCTGTGATACTCCTGCACTGGCCTCTCAAGTCACTATGACTACAGGCACGAGCCATCATGGACAGCTGAACGGTAATATTTCAATCAGAGCGTAGGACACATTTGAGGAATCAAGAATATGTACTCATGCCAGATATAACATACCTGTATGTAATATCAGCTACTTAGAGATTGAGGTAGTAAGATCACAAGTTCAAGACCTGCCTGGGCAACTTAGCAAGACCCTGCCTCAAAATAAAAAGGGCTGGGATGACACTGAGTGGTAGAGCACCATTTCATTCCCCAGAACCAAAAAAAGAGAAGAAAAAAAAAATAATTCACTGAGGCCAGGCACCGTGGTGGCACATGCCTCTAATCCCAGAGGCTTGGGCTGGAACAGGAGGATGGCAAGTTCAAAGCCAGCCTCAGCAACGATGAGGTGCTAGTCAACTCAGTGACACCCTGTCTCTAAATAAAATACAAAATAGGGCTGGGGATGTGGCATAGTGGTTGAGTGCCTCTGAGTTCAATCCTCGTTAGCAGGAAAAAGGGGGAAAAAAAAAAGGAAAATAAAATTAACTGAGTAGGTACATATATATATATAATGGAATATTACTCAGCCATAAAGAATAATGAAATTATGACACTTGCCAGTAAATGAATGGATTGTAGACTATCATGCTAAGTGAAATGAACCAATCTTGCCAATCCTAAAAAACCAAAGGTCAGGGCTGGGGATGTGGCTCAAGCGGTAGTGCGCTCGCCTGGCATGCATGGAGCACTGGGTTCCATCCTCAGCACCACATACAAATAAAATAAAGATGTTGTGTCCACCGAAAAACTAAAAAATAAATATTAAAAAAAAACAAAGGCAAAAATGTTTTGATATGTGGATGCTAACACACAAGGTGGGGTGGGGTGGGTAGGGAAGAACAGAAGTACTTTGGATTAGACAAAGGGAATGAAGGGAAGGGAGGGGTGGTGGGAACAGAATGAACTGGACATTACTTTCCTATGTTCATATATGAATACTCGACCCATGTAACTCCACATTATGTACAACCGCAAGGAAAGTTGTACTGCATGTATTTATAATACGTCAAAATACAATCTATTGTCATGGATAGCTAAAAAGAACAAATAAAAAACAAACAAAAGAACTGAATTAAGAACCACTGTGGGGGCTGGGGATGTGGCTCAAGCGGTAACACGCTCGCCTGGCATGCGTGTGGCCCGGGTTCGATCCTCAGCACCATATACAAACAAAGATGTTGTGTCTGCCAAAAACTAAAAAAAAATAAAAAATAAATACTAAAAAATTCTCTCTCTCTCTCTCTCTCTTTAAAAAAAAAAAAAAAAAACACTGTGGATTTATATATACTTTCAGTTGCTTCTAGTAAAGAGATCAGGTATGCATTCCAATCCTATAATTATAATCAAGAGATTGTTTGAAATTTGACCTTATTTCTATTATTCCTCATTAAAACAACAACAACAAAAAGCCAAGAATATGGATTGTCAGCTCTAAAAATAATATGCCCGAGAGACAGCATATGCTTATGTTTATTTTGAAGCCTAAGGAATATGACTCTGAATAATTAAACCCTTTGTGAAAAGTTACCTGTAGAGAGGCTGGGGGTATATAGTTCAGTGGCAGAGCACATGCCTATTGTGTGCAAAGCCTTGGGTTCAGTAAGCACAATAATCCAAAAACAATTTCCATGAAATTCAAAAGGTTTTACTACTGACCTTATGAAATATAACAGGATACAAGATATTCACAGACAGGATAAGCTCTCCTTCCTCAATCATGTCGGCTGAATTTTCAGGTTTTTTCCCCATAGCATGTGACTCCTGAAGAAAAAAAAATGGAGACCTTGAAGTCAGATACTATAACTCAGATAAGAGGTAGTATGGTACAATGTTTAGTAGCAAAGGCTTGAGTCAAACAGCTCAAAGTTTTAATCTCATCTATGAAAAAACAGAAAATATTTATTTTGTAGAACTGTTGCTGGCAATGTGACATAAATCACCCAAGAAGGGCTAGGGATGTAGATCATTGGTAAAGACCCTGGGTTTGATCCTCAGATCTCACACACACACACACACACACACACACACACACACACAGAGGCAGGATTGAACTGGAATCCCTAAGGTAGCCACTAGAAAATACCTAAAATATATACAGAAAAGCAGAGAATCAAAATGGCACACCACAAAAATTCTATACATAACATGAAAGTACATAAGACATACAAATAGTTAACTGGCAGAAGTAAAGTGTTCCTTATTAGTAATTAATTCAAGTACAATGGATTAAACTTTCCTATTAGAGAGGCACACTGGTAAAATGGATTTAAAAGCCTTGATGGGGGTGGAGTGGTGCACGCCTATAATCGCAACAGCTCAAGGCTGAGGCAGGAGGATTGAAAGTTCAAAGCATCAGCCTCAGCAATTTGGAAAGACCTTGTCTCTAAATGAAAAATAAAAAGAGCTGGGGATGCGGCTCAGTGGTTAAGTGCCCCTACGTTCGATCTCTGGTACAAAAAAGAAAAACCTTGCTTCTCTCTCTGTTGTCTTAAAGACACTCACTTTAGAAACAGATCAGAAAGTTCAAAAAAAGTATATCCCATGTAAATAATAAACAGAAGACAGTTGTTGCTGGAGATATATATATATATATATATATCATATACACACACACATATTTTTTGGTCAGACAAAACAAATTTCAAGCCAAAAAGATTATAAGAGACAAAGAAGAGCATTATATATTAATAAAGGTACCATCCAGCTAAGCACAATGGTACACCTATAATCCCAGTGACTTAGGTGGCTGAAGCAAGAGGACCACAAGCTTGAGACTAGCCTAAGCAACTAAGTAAGACTGTGTCTCTGGGGAAAAAAAAAAAAAAAATTGAAGAAACAGTTCTACAATAATGGTTAGAAATTTCAATACTTCACTTAGAATTACAAGACAGAAGATTAATAAAGAAGTAGAAGAACTGAACACTTTAAACAATTTGACCTAATAAGACATATACAGAACTCTTCATTCAACAATAGCAGAGATTAAAAAGGAAATAATACAGAGTGGAGATAAATGAAACAGAAAATAGAAAAATGATATAGAAAAAAATCAACAAAAATAAGCTGATTTCTTTGAAAAAACATCAAAACTCTTACTGACTGATTAAAAAGAAAGAAAGAAGCCTCAAACTATCAAAATCATTACTATTGATTTCACAGAAAAAGGCTTTTTTTTCCCCTTTGGCAGTACTGGGACTGAACCCAGAGTACCCTACCACTGAGTTGCCCCTCAGTCCTTTTAATTTTTATTTTATGACAAGGTGTCACCAAATTCCTTGAGATTCTCTTGCCTTAGCCTCTTGAGTGTCTGGTATTATTGATGTGCACCACCATGCCTCGCAGAAAAAGAAGGATATAAAAGAAAAGTTTCAACTCTCGGGTTTGGCGCTGGGGCTCAGTGGTAGAGCGCTTGCCTGGCATGTGTGAGGCACTGGGTTTGATCCTCAGCACCACATATAAATAAATAAACAAAATAAAGGCATGCTGTCCATCTACAACTACAAAAGGAAAGTCCAGGACCAGAAAACATGACTATGTGAATTCTACAAAATATTTAAGGAAGAATTAATAACAAATGTTTCTCAGGCTCTGCAGAAGAAATCTGAAAAGAACTGAACTCCTCCTAACTCATTCTATGGGCCCAGAATTACCCTGACACCACAACCAAAGATCCCACAAAAAAAGAAAACTACAGGCCGACATTCCTTATGAATATGAATGCAAAAATCCTCAACAGAATACTAGACACAATTCAGCAGTATATTTAAAGGATTATACACTACAATCAAGTGGGATTTGTTCTTAGGATGTAAGATAACATAGCAAATCACTCAATATAACACACCACACTCACAGAGTAACAAGGAAAAAAACATATCACCTCAACTGATGTACAAAAAGTCTTTTACAAAACATGACATTGCCTTGTTTTTAGTTTGGTCTTTTTCTCTCAAATGCTGTATCAGCTAGGAATCAACACAATACAAAAGGTCATATTCAATGGTGAAAGACAAAACCTTCCTCCTAACATCAGCAACAAGACAAATGTGCACTCTTCCTACTTGTACATAACACAGTACTGGAAGCTTTAGCCAGAGGAATGGGGAAAGCAGTGAGAAAGATAGGAAGAAAGATGACCAAACTGGAAAAGAAAAAATAGTTATATCTCTGTTTGCAGATGACAGATGACACAGTCTTGTACAAAACCCTGAAGAATACACACACACACACACACACACACCCAAAACCAATCAAAACACAGCAAATAAACAAATTCATCAAAGAAGCTGGATACAAAATCAACACCCCTTTAAGACATTATACTAAATAAGCCATATAGAAAAGGACAAATATTATATGACTCCACTTATCTGAGGTACCTAGAATAGGCAAATTCATAGAAATTTAAAGGAGAAGAGTGGTCACCTGGGGCTATGAGAGGGAGACTTGTGAGTTATTGCTTAATGGGTATAAGAATTACGTCTGGGATGATGAAAAAGTTCTGAAAACAATGGCGATGACTACATACTTTTATGAAATGTACTTAATGTTATTTTATTGAACACTTAAAAGTGGTTAAAACAATAATTTTTATGTTATGTTAAATTCTACCATAATTTAAAAAAATAAAGAGGGAGAAACAATTCCTGCCCTTCTGCACTATCAAGTGGCCAGCACAGAGTCTGGCACATGGCAGGTGCTGAGCTCAGTGTGTCTAGTAGCTTCTAATTCCTCAATATTCATCTTCTTAAATTTTTCTTAGGGTTTTATACATGACATAATGAATTAAGAATGTGGTTAAAGTAAAAATCAGAAACAGAACAAAAAGGGTAGGAACAGGATGGTAAAAAGGACACAAATATAGCATTCGTGAGAATAAGACCAAACCAAAAGCAGAGATAAAGGGAGCCATCTGAGTCAAGTATGTGCTTAACTGAGTTCTTTTGAGTCCTTTTCTCTAACGAGTTCTTAGTCTCAATGGAGTGTGTTTTGCAACTAAGCACATCTAATACAAAGCTACCATATAGTCATTACTAATAGCATCCAATGAGTGAGTTGAGTGTTTCTTGGGAAACACTGGTAAAAAAGATGAGAGTCTTACCATCTCATAAGCAAATATTTCTTGTCTGCAAACACGATCTATCGTTATGGTTTCTTCCCGATGTTCCAGGAACCTCTTTCTAACCCTGTTGTAGATACACAAAAAAATCAAAGTTTAACATTCTTTTCTGGGACTTCAAAAAAATAAAAATCTTTTTAAGCTTCTTATTGTAGACTAGTTTAAGACAAAGAAAAGTTGCAAAAACAGTACAAAGAGTTCCTTTATATCTCTTGCCCAGCTTCCCCTAAGTTAACATCCTATATGATTAGACAAGGATCAAGAATAGGACAATGACATTAATGTAACATTATTAACTACAGACCTTTTCCAACCTTCACACAATTTAATTCAATGCCTCTCCATTGCCCATTCCAGATTCCTACTCAGGATCCCACAGGCATCACTTATTTTTCCTTCCTCCCCTTGAGTCTGTCCTGAGACAGGAAGGAAATATACATATGTATGCTAACTCATGCCTGCACAAGGAACTGTATTTCTATAATATATTTAAAATCAAGAGCTGGGTGTGGTAGTGTACACCTGTAATTCCAGCTATTCTGAAAGCTGAGGTAGAAGAATCACAAGTTCAAGGTCAGCCAGGGCAACTTAGCAAGTTCCCATCTCAAAATTAAAAAAATAAGCCAGGTGTGTGGCACATACTTATAATCCCAGCAACTAAGGAGGCTGAGGCACAAGAATCACAAGTTCAAGGCCAGCTTCAGCAACTTAACGAAACTGTCTCAGAATAAAAAACTGAAAAGAGCTAGGGAGACAGTTCAGTGATAAAAGTGACCCTGGGTTCAAACCCCAGTACCAAAAAATAAATAAAAATTTAAAGGATCAAGAATGTAACTCAACAGTAGAGCACTCCAGGGCCTAATCGCCAGTTTGGGGTATAAATGAGGGAGTTCAAACTAAAACCACAGGATTCATTGTAGCCTTCTTTGTTTTTAACTTCTTTTTCCTCAAGAGAGAAAACCCAGCTCTCACGATTGGCAATCTACTTATTAGTGTAATTCTAGTAAAAATAAATCCCATGAATCCTATAAGAAATACTAACTCATGAACAGTTCTTTTTGTCCTCGGTCTTACATCAGTACGGAGATTTCCTTATGTAGTAGACTTAAGTTAATTCCTTCTTTCCCCTCCTCTTCAGTGTTGGTACATTATTCATTTGGAATAGAGTTAGGTTCGTTTGTTAGACTTTTTTATTCTATTTTGGGGCCCCCCTTGTACATCCTGGTTGGTTTTGTCTGATTACTTTTGGGGTATGCGAGATGTAAAACTACTATGGCACCAAAGAGTCAGAGGTGTCAAGCCTTCTTTGTCCTTAGTAACCTGATCCCATTTTCTTTCTTCTTTTTGCCCCTTTCCCACCTGCCTCCTACAGGAAATCAATCTCTATACTTCTGGTTTATCCTTTCCATTTCTTTTGTTCAAATACCTGTGTTTTAAAATTTTAGCTTCTTCTATATCATTCTGAGTTTAATTAGGAGGAAAAAACCAAACAGTAATTTGAACAGAGAAAGCTTAATCTAAGAATTATTAAGTTTAACCAAAGACTGGAATAAAGAGGGATTTGCAAGGAAGCAAAGGGAATTGTAGACAAAAGGAACACCCTACTCCTAGCACTGGGTAAGAAGGCCCAAGAAGTCCTTTTCTCCTCTAAGGACTAAGATCCAGAACTAGTGCAGGAGACCTGGCTATGACTCAACGAATGGCAAAAAAAAAAAAAAAGTTGCCGCAGTGCTATATCAGTGGAACTTGCTGGAAATCCACCTTTAATGGTGCCAAAAAAAAAAACTGTTTAAGGAAGTGGGTGGCAGGGAAAAACTGCAGTGCACTGCAGGGGCTGGGCACTGGGGAAGCTATGTGCACTGTGGGATCATGCTGAGCCAGCACATCAGATCCCTCAAGTGCCCCAAGGTCTCTTCATTGCCCTTTTTCACTGGAACAGCTGAACAATGCGTGCCAGTTCCCAAAGGAAAAATATTAAAGGGTCATGGTCTATTTTTACAGAACAGGCAATAAAAATGTAAATTTACAGATGAGAACCAGTGAATTATACCCCGCACATCATTTTGCATGAAGGGTGGCATCTGCTTTGGGTTTTGCTTTCTTCACTTACTATAAATCCTCTCTGGAAATCATTCTCTGGGTTCATCCTTCTCCATCATTTATTATAGCTGCAAAATATTCCACTGTGTGGATCTCCCAGTGTGTTCGATACTCTTTTATGTATGTGGAGATATGTTATTTCAAATATTTCGCAACTGCAAACAATACAATAACCTTATACACATTTACTTCCTTATTGCTGGAGGGATATCTTCAGTATAGATTGCTATAGGTGGGACTGCTGAATCAAAAAGGGAAGTGCACATAGGTTGGATCGATTTGCATTCTCATCAGCAATGTTTGAAAACACCTGTTTCCCACAGCCTTATCAAAATAATGCATATTTTAAAATTTACGGTCACTGATAGGCTAGTAAAGGCAACTCAATGCAGTTTTAATTTTCACTTCTCTAATGAGTATGGTAGATAGAAAATTTAAAAATGTTTGTCAATTTTATTTTTAAACTTGTTGTGCAGGAAATCAAACCCAGGACCTTGCACATGCCAAGCAAGTGCTCTACCACTAAGCTACATTCTCAGACCCTACTTTTATCTGTGTGTGTGTATGAATTATTAGTTTTTCCCACATATTAGGAATATTACCTTTTTTTGGGTGTGTTTATGGTGCTGGGGATTGAACCCAGGGCCTTGTGCATGCGAGGCAAGCACTCTCCCAACTGAGCTATAACCCCAGCCCACGAATATTAGCTTTTTATGGTGCATATTATAAATATCTTTTTCTAAGCTTGACAGCTGTTTTGGACTTCATGAATTTTTGTTTTTTGCCATGAAAAGATTTTTAATATTAGGTAGTCAATTTTATCAATTAAAAAAAGTTCCTCAGGAGCTGGGGTTGTAGCTCAGTGGTAGAACAAACACTTGCCTAGCATGTATGAGGTACTCGGTTTGATTCTCAGCACCACATATAAATAAATAAATAAAATAAAGGTCCATCAACAATTAAAAAAATTTTTTTAAATAGATAAAATAAACATTTAAAAAAATTCCTCTGAATTTCAATCAGTTTTATTCCACTAAGGTTTGTATGTTTCGGACTCTACATATATTTTGATCTCTAATCTGTTTGGAGTATGTTCTTGGGAAGAGTGTCATACTTAACTTTCTTATGTATTTTACTAACTCGGGACTTTATTCTGCTTTGTTGAACTATTTGTCTATTCATGAGCCAATTCCCATTGCTGTAATTAAAAAAGTCTTAAGTATATTTTATTATCTAATAAAACCACTACTCTTTATAATTTCCCTTCTATCCCAAATTTTCTTAGGTCTTCTTCCATGTTTTCCATATGAACTTTATTATCAACTTGTCTAACTCCAAAAAATAATTTTTATTATTAACAATACTTTTATTGGGATTACATTAAGTTTATAAATTTTAACTCAGAGAAAGAAATGACTCATTGTGTTTAGTCTTCCTATCCAAGAACAGGGAGTATCTTTCATTTATTCAAGTGTTCTGAGTCTTTCGGCAATGTCTTAAAATTTTCCTCACATAATTTTTATATACTTCTTGTTAAATATATTTGTAAGTATTTGACTTTTTGCAATTGCAAATGACATTTTCTCTACTATTATGTTCTCTAACTGCATTTTTTCCAATATATGAAGGCTATTTTGTCCTTTTCTTTTTTATCTTTTTTTGCAATACTAGGGATTGAACCCAGGCCCTTACACACACTGAGCAAATGCTCTATCACTCAACTACATCCCCTTTATTTATTGAGACAGGATCTCACTAAGTTGCCCAGGCTGGCCTTCAGCTTATGATTCTCCTGCCTTAGCCTCCCAAGGAGCTGGAATATCAGAAATGAAACACTGTACCTAGCAAGGCTATTGATTTATATATATCAATTTTGTATTCTTCTCTTTCACTAAATTTCTTAATTTAGTTTTAGCATTAATTTCTTTGGGATTTTCCAGGTACACTTGTATCATGTACAGATGGAGTTTTTACTTCTTTTTTTTAAAAAAAAATATTTATTTTTTAGAAATAATTGGACATAATACCTCAATTTTGTTTATTTATTTTTTTATGTGGTGCTGAGGATCAAACCCCAGGGCTTGCACGTGCTAGACAAGCGCTCAACCACTGAGCCACAATCCTAGCCCCTGGTTTTTACTTCTTTACCTAATTGATTTTTTACTTCTTTACCTAATCTCTAATTGATTTTTCCAGTAAACTGCAATGGCTAATACCTGCAGGAAAATGTTGCAAAGTAGTGGCAATAGTGGGCATGCTTGCCTTGTTACAGATCTTAGTTGAAATTCCCAGATTATTTCTCTATTGAATAAGACACATGGTTTACAACTAAGTTACATGTATTTCACCATGTCAGAACAGCATCCTTCCGATTTCTTTCCTTGAATGTTTTATAAGGAATAGTGTTAAATGTTTTTAAGCCTCTCAGCATCTCTGGAAACAAGTGATTTGCTCTTTAGACTTCATATTAAACCAAACTTCCATTCCTGAAATAAATCCCACTTGGAAATGGCATAGAGTCTTCTTAATATAGTATTGGATTACCTGATATTTTGTGTTGAATAACACTGGTATCAAGTTTTCTTTCACTATACTGTCCCCATCTAGTTTAAGCATCAGTGCCATGTCTGCTTCATAAAAATAATTAAGCTTTTCTTGAGCTGGGTGCAGTGGTACACACCTGTTATCTCAACTATTAGGGAAGCTGAGGCAAGATCCCAAATTCAAGGTAGGCTTAGACAACTTAGCAAGACCTTGCATCAAAAAATAGCCAAATAAATAGACAGGCTGGAAATATAGTTAAAAGGTAGAGTACTTGCCTAGCATGCATATAACCCTGGGTTCAACCCTTAATACCATCAAAAAGATAAAAATGTCTTTCTTCAAGGCTTTGGAGCATTTGGACTGGTCTCTGATATACTTTTGTTCAACTCTTTTATTTTTAGCCTCTTTGAGTCAGGATTTTTC